TCTCTCTCTCTCTCGGAAATTGTGAAGTGAGAGAGTCAAATTGAATTCCAGGTACAATTAAATGTTTTGATTATCTGTCATTTCCAGGTCTCTCCCCCTGTGACAGTGCCCCATGTTACAATGGTGGTGTCTGCTCTAATAGTGCAGATGGCAGCACCTTCCAGTGTGCCTGTTCTGGTATATACAGTGGCCCCACCTGTGAGATAGGTAAGGGCTGTATATATTCACTTGTTTTTATACACAGACATTGAAAATATTACTGTAGATGACATGTTTTAGAATTTTCTACTTGTTATGTACATATTGTATGGGGTGCAAAGATAGAAAAAAGTGGAGTATCTGGGATAGCGCTAACACTTGCCAATTTAGCCAAATGCTTAAACTGACTTAAATTGGCTAACAAAATAGGGTTGATTTGATTTGTTTTAGTCAAATTTAAAGCATATGGAGGCAAAGGCATGGAAAAATATTGATTTGGCTAAGGGAAAAAATTTGCTAGGGCTACCCCATAGTATGGTTGACAGAACTCGTTATCCTTATCATAGACAGGACTAAAAAGAAAACATTATCAATAATGACAGACAGTTCCCATCCAGCCCATACCCTTTTTAAATTTTTACCTAGCAATTCGAGACTCTTAGCTTTTAAGGGTAGTAAGCGATTTTTAAATAGCTTTTATCCTTCGTCAGTAACTATTTTTAACTCTAACATGTAATTTTAATTTTCATTTTTTATATTTCAGTGGCGGTACTACAGGGCAAAAGATTCCCGATTTTATACATTTGTATTTTATTGGCTTAATAAATTATTATTATTATTATTATTATTATTATTATTATTGTTATCATAGTTGTCGTCATCGTCATTTTTATTATTATTATTATTATTATTATTATTATTATTCCACTGTCTCTTCTAGTCCAGGGGTCCTGTACCCCTGACCCATGCCAGAATGGAGGAACCTGTGCAGACCTGGGAGGCAGCTACCAGTGTTCCTGTCCCTCTGGCTACAGGGGATCAGAGTGTCAGAATAGTAAGTACTGTACCACTTCTACTGGCTACAGGAGGTCAGAGTGTCAGAATAGTAAGTACTGTACCACTTCTACTGGTTACAGGAGGCCAGAGTGTCAGAATAGTAAGTAGTGTACCACTTCTACTGGCTACAGGGGGTCACAGTGTCAGAATAGTAAGTACTGTACCACTTCTACTGGCTACAGGGGGTCAGAGTGACAGAATAGTAAGTGCTGTACCACTTCTACTGGTTACAGGAGGTCAGAGTGACAGAATAGTAAGTGCTGTACCACTTCTACTGGTTACAGGAGGTCAGAGTGCCAGAATAGTAAGTGCTGTACCACTTCTACTGGCTACAGTTTTAAAATGATATGCCTTCTGAAATATTATATGGGAACCGGGGTTTCCGAAGGATTTTGGGTACATGGAGTTCTAAACGTGATTTTGTAAGTTGGATGCCATTCACAGGGAGTCCAACACAAGCAAGCCCAACCAACTCAAAAACTTTGTAAGGCGCCCAGCCGCCTTTGGAAATATAGGCCGTCTTTTGAGGCCAATGGCGATACAAATTATGGCTGGATAGCTCTCTGGAGAAATCTTTGCATGCAAAACTTGTAACTTTATCTAACTTTGATGTCCTTTGTTTTCTTTTAGCGGACTTTTGTCTCAACAATCCTTGTCAAAATGGCGGCAGTTGTTTTAACAATGGAGATGGGACGGGATATTTTTGTTCCTGTACTGGAGTGTACGAGGGAAGGAATTGTGAGAGTAAGTAGATGGATTTTTCTGTGCAGTCTGGTTTTGAATGTGGTTTAGGAGTTGACTGAGTGAAAATCCACCTGGGATTTTGTTGTCTGAGCCACAATTTGGTGTACCTGTTATCTACCATTTTTTCAATTTTTTTTTTTTTTTTTTTTTTTTTTCATTTTTTAAATTTTTTGAAAAAAATCATGTGTGCAGTATTATCTGAAGACCACACTCTAGAAGAGCCGAGCTTGGCAAAGAAAAATATCTTTAAGCAATATATGGAGGTGCTGTCAAGATTTAATGGAAAATGTTGTGTCACTTTTTCTGTCTGACTTGAAAATTTCATCAACATTGTAGAAAAACCTAATACGATATTCTGTCAAGGAATGATGTAGACATTACCTTGGACTTCTCAGTAGGCAGATGCTATAATAAAGATGATAAGAAATGAAGAAGTAGATACAGCTTTGATATGATCAAGGGGGAGAAGTTGAATTTGATGTTTCTCTGGTACATATAAGATTTTTATGTACACACTAGACTGTACATACAGCCATCACCTGTCTCTTACATCGTCATATCCATGCACTTTCAGAGATAACACAGTAAGTGGAAAACTGTTGGTTTTCTAACTGTTAGTCAAGCATGAAAAACTGAAAAATACCATTTTTTAAATTCTGAAAAGTGGGTTGGATTTGTGTTGGACATGTGTCTGACATATATAGCTGTTCATTTTTCTTCAAGAAATAAAATATTATTATAAATAAGATATCTGATACTTGTGAATCATAATGATAATTATTATTCTAAATGTACAACTTTCCTAACCAGGATTATGGCAAGTACTTGTTTTGTAGTTCTTAACATTTTACCTGTTCTAACTCAGGTCTACCGACTACTACTACTACAACTACAACTACAATAACCTCTGGTTCTGTTACCGTGACAACAGGTAATAATAATAAGATGTAGATTTACATGTTGATAAAAAAAGATACATTTAATCCAGGGTGAAACAGGTTGGTTCTTTCCTTCCCCCCTGAACCCCCCCCACCCACCCACCCACCCACCCACCCCAAAAAAAATAAAAAAAAAAAAATTCCCCACTTAACAGATATAATTCTGATGATGGATGCTAAGAGGGTATTGTGCTTACTGGGAGACTGTGTATAATTCAGATTTTAACAAGATGGGCAGAACTAGACTTAGTTTTGCTCATAACATGCATGCATATGGTACAGTATGCTATTAAACATAATTAGCCACTCCTATGAATGCGGCTACGCTCACCTGCATGCATGCACACTATTGTAACTCTTGTGGCCAGTGTGTCCTCCCTGACCCATCTCTCTCTCTCTCTCTCTCCCCCCCCCCCTCCCCCTTCACTCCAATGGTGAAATTATTAAAATACTTTGTCTGAGGGATAAAGAAAGTGATATGCAATTATAACCATTCTTCATTGTGCAGAAATCTGAAAGCCGCTGTGCGGGTGCTGACAGTTGTGTAATTTTTTCCTTTCTTGTGCGTGAGTGTGTGTTCAATTAAGAAACCTCATCTCTAATTGCTGGCTACAGTCCTCTAAGTCCAGGTTGAAAACACTAAAATCATTCCTTGTTGACTCATACATATAATATCTTCTTAAAGCTTGGTTTGGTTTATTTGCCATTAACACTGTGGTGTGGTAAGTACCCTATTTGTAAGAGAGTCTTGTGTGATATACACCGGAAAAAATATTTTTATTTAATTGAAATCTTAAGTTGAGAATTTGCCTTCTTTGTGTAAACTGCCTTCAACTTCTTTTTTTGTCAAGTCTTAGAGCCTTATTTCATTAGCGTTAAGTTTTTAAATACAGTTTCTCCTGACAGTAACAGTTCCTGTTCATTTTAAAAAACCTTTTCTCTGTCTTTTCTTTCAGCTCTTTCAAATCTGAGTGTGATGCCAAAGTCTTCTAGTTCGCTGCTTGCATTGCTGCCTCTCTCTCTATTGCCTCTGGTTGTTTGCTAAATTAATGTTTGCTTTTCATGTATATTATATGTTATAATTTCTTCTAAAACTTGACTTAAAAATTATATTTATCAGAAAATTGTAATATAAGAATGTTTGAAGTTATATGAAGCCAAGCTTGTTGCATATTTGAAAAGTGATACATGNCAGGAGGTCAGAATGTCAGAATAGTAAGTGCTGTACCACTTCTACTGGCTACAGTTTTAAAATGATATGCCTTATGAAAATATTATATGGGAACAGGGGTTTCTCAAGGATTTTAGGTACATGGAGTTCTAAACGTGATTTTGTAAGTTGGATGCCATTCACAGGGAGTCCAACACAAGCAAGCCCTTGGGACCAACTCAAAAACATTGTAAGGCGCCCAGCCGCCTTTGGAAATGTAGGCTGTCTTTTGAGGCCAATGGTGATACAAATGATGGCTGGATAGCTCTCTGAAGAAATCTTTGTATGCAAAACTTGTAACTTTATCTAACTTTGATGTCCTTTGTTTTCTTTTAGCGGACTTTTGTCTCAACAATCCTTGTCAAAATGGCGGCAGTTGTTTTAACAATGGAGATGGGACGGGATATTTTTGTACCTGTACTGGAGTGTACGGGGGAAGGAATTGTGAAAGTAAGTAGATGGGTTTTTCTGTGCAGTCTGGTTCTGAATGTGGTTTAGGAGCTGACCGAGTGAAAATCCACCTGGGATTTTGTTGTCTGAGCCACAATTTGGTGTACCTGTTATCTACCGTTTTTAAAAATTTATTTTTTTTTTTTAAATTTTTTAAAATCTTTTTTATTTTATTAAAAAAGCATGTGTGCAGTATTATCTGAAGACCACACTCTAGAAGAGTCGAGCTTGGCAAAGAAAAATATCTTTAAGCAATATATGGAGGTGCTGTCAAGATTTAATGGAAAATGTTGTCACTTTTTCTGTCTGACTTGAAAATTTCATCAGCATTGTAGAAAAACCTAATACGATATTCTGTCAAGGAATGATGTAGACATTACCTTGGGCTTCTCAGTAGGCAGATGCTATAATAAAGATGATAAGAAATGTAGAAGTAAATAGAGCTTGATCTGATCAAGGGGGAGAAGTTGAATTTGATGTTTCTCTGGTACATATAAGATTTTTATGTACACACTGGACTGTACATACAGCCATCACTTGCGTCTGTCATCGTCATCTCATGCACTTTCAGAGATAACACAATAAGTGGAAAACTGTTGGTTTTCTAACTGTTAGTCAAGCATGAAAAACTGAAAAATACCATTTTTTTAATTCTGAAAAGTGGGTTGGGTTTGTGTAGGACATGTGTCTGACATATATAGCTGTTCATTATTCTTCAAGAAATAAAATATTATTATAAATAAGATATCTGATACTTGTGAATCATAATGATAATTATTATTCGAAATGTATGACTTTACTAACCAGGATTATGGCAAGTACTTGTTTTGTAGTCCTTAACATTTTACCTGTTCTAACTCAGGTCTACCGACTACTACTACTACTACTACAACTACAACAACCTCTGGTTCTGTTACCGTGACAACAGGTAATAATAATAAGATGTAGATTTACATTTTTGAGGATAAAAAAAGATACATTTAATCCAGCTTATAAAAGGGTGAAACAGGTTGGTTCTTACCTTCCCCCCTGCCCCCCTACCCCCCCCCCCCCCAAAAAAAAAAAAAAAGTTTTCCCCACTTAACAGATATCAAAATGAGGTTAGAGGGTATTGCGCTTACTGGAAGACTGTGTATAATTCAGATTTTAACAAGATGGGCAGGACTAGACTTAGTTTTGCTCATAACATGCATGCATATGGTACAGTATGCTATTAAACATAATTAGCCACTCCCATGCATGCGGCTACGCTCACCTGCATGTATGCACACTATTGTAACTCCTGTGACCAGTGTGTCCTCCCTGACCCATCTCTCTCTCTCCCCCCTCCCCCCCTTCACTCCAATGGTGAAATTATTAAAATACTTAGTCTGAGGGATAAAGAGAGTGATATGCAATTATAACCATTCTTCATTGTGCAGACATCTGAAAGCCGCTGTGCGGGTGCTGACAGTTGTGTAATTTTTTGCTTTCTTGTGGGTGAGTGTGTGTTCAATTAAGAAACCTCATCTCTAATTGCTGGCTACAGTTCTCTAAGTCCAGGTTGAATACACTAAAATCATTCCTTGTTGACTCATACATATAATATCTTCTTAAAGCTTGGTTTGGTTTATTTGCCATTAACACTGTGGTGTGGTAAGTACCCTATTTGTAAGAGAGTCTTGTGTGATATACACCGGAAAAAATATTTTTATTTAATTGAAATCTTAAGTTGAGAATTTGCCTTCTTTGTGTAAACTGCCTTCAACTTCTTTTTTTGTCAAGTCTTAGAGCCTTATTTCATTAGCATTAAGTTTTTCAATACAGTTTCTCCTGACAGTAACAGTTCCTGTTCATTTTAAAAACCTTTTCTCTGTCTTTTCTTTCAGCTCTTTCAAATCTGAGTGTGATGCCAAAGTCTTCTAGTTCTCTGCTTGCATTGCTGCCTCTCTCTCTATTGCCTCTGGTTGTTTGCTAAATTAATGTTTGCTTTTCATGTATATTATATGTTATAATTTCTTCTAAAACTTGACTTAAAAATTATATTTATCAGAAAACTGTAATATAAGAATGTTTGAAGTTATATGAAGCCAAGCTTGTTGCATATTTGAAAAGTGATACATGTATGTAAATTGGGATTGATAAAATAAGTTTTATTTAAGTAGATACATAAAATGTGTTAGCCGAATCAGATGTAGATAAGACTGTATGAAATAACTGATGTGAAGGAACTATGATTTTTAATTGGTAGTTTTTTTTTCCTCAAAGGGTTACAGACTCTTAATAGTAAAACCTCTGAGCTGCTGCTTCTTGAATTTTTCTCTTACAATAATCCAAAATCATGTCTCATACTTAATGTTAGGTATGTCTGATCATGGGATTCGTTTTGGTACCTGTAGCAAAAGTTAGAACTGCACTACTTCTAGACTGTTACTATAGCAGTCTTTGAAATTATTATTTTTTCTTTTTATGTTTGTTAATTATTGTTGTCTCATTGCCAGGCCTGTAGCCAGCAATTTCAAAGGGAGATTTTTTTTTCTAAAAAGATTCTAAAAAGAAAAGGAAATAAAATAAAGTAAAGAAGTAGACTTTTAATCCTGTTATAGTTGATATATAACTGGACAGCAAGCACACAGCGTGGATCAGATTTTGAGTTTATTGATCTCATTATAGCTAAAAGAATTGTTATTTCAACCCCACCCCACCCCACCCCCGCTGTCCCCACTGAAAAAAAAAAAAAGGCTGCAGGCCTTGGCCACATTATGAGATCAATTCAAGCTATTCTGCTGGTAATATATGTTTAAGTTTATTTCCGTGTTATATCTCATGAGAAAACAAAATCAATATAATAAGTTAATTTGCCCTACCCACTATTTAGAATAATTATGTTACATTGTAAAAAAATAATTGTCTGTGATTCCCAAGCTTGAGCTCATGTTGGGTTATATATATGTATTCACTTTGTTAAAGTCCCAGATTTAATAAATGTTGATTATAATGTGGCAGTGCTGTTAGTAATGATACACTACTGTAGGTGGCAGCATTGTACGTGTAAGGCCTATGGTTGCAACTACAGGTATTCTTGTCTTCGTGTTGATATTTTTGAGTCATTTTTGAAGTTTTACTATCTTAGATTTGTATTATAGTTCATGTTGAAGGTTATGTCTCTTGCTAACATCTTTTCATATTGTTGAACTTTAACAAGCCCACTAAACAAAACATTTGTATTTGATCTGTGTTTTTTTCTGGTTGTCATTGGTAATAATAGCTGGCAACTCCTGGGACTGGATGGTGTTAATTTTGCACAGATGAACAGGAAAATTAACTGTATTAACTGTGAAAGGTTGGATAAATATTTAAGATGCATATGAAGTTTTTTTTTTTTTTTTTTTTTTTCCACAAAAAATTGACCAAATGCCACCATATAGTTCCAAATAGTATATATTAAGTTAGAGAAATACCAAAGGAAATCACTTCATATTATCTGAAAATGATATTTGAAATTATTTTTCTGCTTGCTTTCTGTGCTGTATATAAGAGGGGCAGATAAGTAGGTCAGATATGAATATGTAAAATTTATGATGGAAATTTTGAAAAAAAGACAGTTAAAAGCTGTTTTATGGATGAACAAGGAATTACTTTGGTTTATCTCTTGGCATATCAACTTAATTTGAGTCATATATTAAGAAACTAGAGAAAGTAGAAGTGATTTATATGCATTACTGGGAATCCACCCTCCACAGACACTCAGGTCAAATGTATCTTTAACAATAATTATGTGGATTAAAGGCATCCTTGAAGATGAACTCAAAGGCTCCACCAGAAGGGACTTGTACATTGCACACCTTTTCTTTTCTCATTTCTTGATTAGAAAGACTGATCCAGATAAGTGGATGTCACTAGTCATTGTGTTATATATGAAAAGATTCAGATACAGACAGAACAAACTAAGGGGATGTTTTAGGTGGAAACACTGATGTTTTGTTTAGTGCCAAGAAGTGATGAAACCCCTGGACTGTATTTATGACTGCATTCCTATAAACTCATCATACTAGCTGGGTCAGTTTAAATCTGTGGGGTGTCTCGCTAAAGTGCTCTCAGTGTAATCAGCTTTATTGTCTGGCACGCCCCCTTCAGTAACTAGGGGGTGATTGTCTATAATTGTCAATTAACCCCTTGTAGCTTGAGTAGGTGTGCCTGACATTTAGGCTGCTTACATTGAATGCAATTTAGTGAGAATCCCCTGAGAGTTAGATCGATCCAGCTAGTACGATGACTTTATGGGAATGTTCCCTAAACTCCTATGTTACTTACAGTTGAATTAGCATATTGAATTAAGGTTCCAAGCATATTTCACTTATTTATGGCTTAAACTTTTTTTTATTTCCTTTAGGCTTCAATATTTTAATCATAATATTATATTAGATTTGTCAATTTTTTAAAGTCAATTACAAAAAGTCACTGCTATTATTCTTAAATAAAATCTTCTGTTTTAAAGTTACTACTAAAGTTTTATTGTTCATTTCATTGATGACATCCTCTTTTTAGGCAGCATGAAGGTGCATCACTCTTTTAATATATATAGTTCATTTGCCTTTACTATACAAGTTTTTTTTTACCTGTGCATTTCTCAACTGTGTCATAGCATTTTTACTAGTTTTTATTATTTTTTTTTAATTGTAAAGAACTGTCTTGGTGCCAAATTAACATTACTGTTTAATGATACGTAGAAAGTTAATGAAGTTAGGTATTTTCGTCAAACTATCAGGGTTTGTCATTTTCAAAAATTTTGCAGGATATCACAACTTAATTTGGTTGTGTACTAACAGGATAAATTAGCTTAGAAAATCACCCAAATGTAAGATTCATTTGGATTTTTTTTTTTTTTTTTTTTTTGGGCAAAAATGATAATTTAAATGTTCTTTCTGACAAAAAAAATTAGCCATTGTGTATAGCAATCTAAACATCTTGAATTTCATGTTCCAGACGATGCATCTGTGACTTCTACTTCTACTACTACTACTCGTACTACAGTGATAGGCACCAAGACGCCCCCAAAACAACAGTCAAATAATGACCTCTACATTGGACTGGGGGTTGGCGCAGGGGTCATCCTGCTGGGCTTGGCGGGCCTAGGAATTTACTGCTACTGGAACAAGAAAGGTAACAGGTACAGAACAGGTATAGACGCTTATTGCAATTATATGTGTGTACAGAGTGCTAACTTTGTGTGTTCTGAAGTCATGCATCAGACATGAGCTTTTTGTGTGGAATTGTGGAATTTCGCATTATTTTGGGTGACCTCAGGGGTTATTAACCCAAAATTTTAGGTTGGGTGTTTGTAACATATGGTAATTAACAAAGAGCAGTTCCGGGAGGAGAGGGACAGAACAAAAAAATTGTTTAGTTCAAAAAGTCATACTAGTAGGTATCTTTATAAAAAAGTATAAAGGATAATTTTTTCATGTAGGTGCATGCCATTTCGTTTGCCAATGGGAAACATTAAGAGGAAACCTTACCACGCACCCAAATATAAACATAGATTGAGACATTGTTTTTATAAAAGTGCAGAAGGAAATCATATGAGTTAAAACATTGCTCTGTCATATTTGGTTCTGCAACTAATGTTCAGATTTTTGTTTTGAAATCCAGAGCTCATATCTGATGTATGGCAGTTTTCCTCTGAGTGACTTTTTCTCTTGTTTTCTCCATGTTGAAAACTGAGTTGAAGGTTTGAAGAGATATGTATAGTAGAGCATATTACTTCATTCCATGTGCCATAATTGTACATTCAAAGAAGTGCTTGTTTTAACAGCTTGAAAAATGTTTTTCTTATTTGCATTTTAAAACTGTCTGGTTAATTGCAAGTAATCTCTCATGTGTAGCATATATTATTTCACTGAGGTTGTGGAAATTTGATTAAACTTTTTATTTGTTTATTTAAAATAAATAAAGCGCATATCTTGTCTATTAAACATGCGGCATACCAAATCTTTGTGTATGTAATTTTTTTTTTTTTTTTTTTTTTTGCATTTTATAAAAATCATACAGATTGCTGCAATTATAATTTGACCTCACATTTGTGGCATGTTTTTGGTTACTGAGCTGGTGAAAATGAAAATAAACTGTTTATTTACATGTTCTAAATTATTAAAAGAAAGCACACACCAAATTATTCACCCCATCGGGCATAAAAGAGCTTTAAACTGACACTTTAAATTTAAGGTCGTAAATTTGACCTACGTATCTGACCTACTTATCTCCCCCATTCATATACAGCAAAGCAGGCAAGCAGAAAAATCTGTTCAAATATGCAATTTCATTTAATACAAAACAATGTATTTCTGTATTTCCCTAAGTTAAATATTTGAAACCATGTGGTGACATTTGGTTAACTTAGTAGCCAGAAAATTTGAGATCATATACATCGTTATAAGTTGTGCAATTTTTTGTAGGAGGGGCAACATAGAAAACGGTCCCGGCTATCTACACGATGAGATGGAGGTGAAGAAGCTGAATGAAAAGGAGGGAGAATCTGCTCCTCAGAACTCTGAGAAACCAAAGGCTTAAGCTTTTGTCTTTTCACTGAGAAAATGCATCTGCTATTAAATTCTGAAACACTCAATAAGGAGTAAAACTGTTAAAGCATTGTGTTTTGTGTCAATTTCTTAATGAAATAGGTATTTTTTTCTGTAAAACATGCACTGCACAATGTAAAGCCTAAAGTTAACATGATACATGTACCATGAGACATGTAGACATCTTTCTTGAACTTAGCTGTGAATGTCTTAATATGTGGTGGAGATCTAGTTAGGAAAATTACCCATGGTGCTTAGTAGAGATATTATCACAGCATGTCAAGTCCTCTCTGTAGTTTGAAAAGTTCCAGTATTTGAATATCTGATATTTAATTTGAAATGATGAATCAGATATGATATGTGTTAAGATTGTTATGTTAGTGTGTATGTAGTATTTAGCTTTGCTCTTGTGAAGAGAATCGTTATTCAGTCATGTAAACATAAGACACCTGTATTTATTTTTGTTTAGTAGGTTTTTAAGAAATTTGTATAGGCCAATTTCAGCATTTGTGTATGCTGAGAGAAAATTACATATTAAAACGTCAAAAACAATGTTGACTGTAATGTATTTTTGCTGCAGAACATGTTGGAATATTTTATTACTCATCATTAACAGTTGCATTTAGTTCTTTTTTTATGTGGAATGTTGTTACTGTAGCAAAAAAAAGTTTCATCAGTTGAACTGATAGCATAAGGTATACTAATGATTATTTCTTTTTAAACTGTGTTGTTAAATTAATGTCGTTTTTAAAAGCACATTTCAAGGGGTGTTCATGGAACTTTTGTCTTATTATAATTATATTTTTTGTCTTTATTAAGTTGTACAAATCGGAAAATTCTCACCTTTTTACATGGCGCTGTACCAAATTCTGTATCACTCTAGTATGAACGATTAACAACATGGCATTCTGATAAGAGAGTCACTTCAACAGAGCCCTTGAGCTTGAGGCAGCCAATTCACCAGATTGGTTAGCTTTCACATTTGGGCTTGTGAGGGGGGGGGAGTCGGTAAGAGCACATTCTGAACAGCAGACTAACAGATCTGCAGATCAAATATGGCGACCTACTAAAAAGCTTGCCACTTTATTCTTGATTAGACACTGAATAGATTCCCTGTGGGGATTACGCAACAATCATTCAAGTGGGTGGGCCACATTTGATCTGCGAATATGTTAGTTCGCTGTTCGGAATGTGCTCTAAAACTCATGCTGGTTTTGAGAATGGTCTTAGTTTGTCTATTGTAAGGGCGCATCCCCATAGATTTTAGATCGATCTATCCCAGTGGGGAGTCTCACTAGATTACTGTCAGATAATCCAGCTTAAATGTCCGTCCCACCTACTACAAGCTGTAAGGGGGTAATTAACTTTCGTGCCCGCTCGGCTCACAGCTATTTAGCGTGAACCCCCAGGGAGTTAGGTCGATCTAGTTGGATTGATCTAATCTCTGGGAATGGGGTCTAAGGGTCTTATGTAAGAAAGTATTTTGGTTGCCTTAGATTATAGATTGTAAGAGTCTTCTGTGTTAATCAAGACAGGGTAGTGTTTGGATGGCGTTGTAAGAGCACACTGTATGGCTGTTCGTTGTTTTCATGATAGTTGGCAACGAAAGATAATATCTTTCTCTTAAAACAAAGAGTTTTAGTTTGACTACAATAATTACTTGGGTCTTTTCAATGGGCAAAAATTATGAAACTTTCAGATATGCTATTATACATATTAATTTTTTATCACAAAAATTATTTATCTGTGTAGCATTTCTGGTGCTTTTACAGCATAGAAGAAAAATATAGTAAGAGTAACCTGCTTTTTAATTTTGTTGCTACCACTCGACAGGATTGCAATAATTTTAAGAAATTGTTACTTAAAACATACAGTACCTTGAAATTCACAAATTTCCCCAATGAGAAGTTATGAGTAATCACCATAATCACAGAGGACGTGCACATATCTCATTTATGGGGACAATTGTTATTGCTAATGAACATACCAAAATGCAGTGTCAATAACCACGCTTCAAATGTTCCACATTTGCGTATGTATAAGCCTTTCCTAAAAATATTATATGCATAATTAAATAAGGGGGCATTTTCTAGTCCAAATTGGCATATTTGCCTTTTCTTTTAAGAACATTATCATAGGACCACTGAAGTAGTCCACTTAAGTATGCAAAATGACTAATTTTGATTTTTAAAAAATCTCTGATTTTCTTGTCAGTCCTCCCTCTAGATGGCTTCTGTCTGTTATAGCAGTGTTGTGGGCACATATGCTATGTTATTATTCTTTTTCCACATTGTTTCTGAAGCATTTTGTGTAATAAAAATACTCATTAAAACAATTCCATGAAATTTGTTTTATTTCATCACTTGTCAGAGGGTTATTGACTATTTGGTAAGTTCTTTTTGGGGGTTGGACGTAAAAACGTACACAACAATATTATGACTCGATCTTTTCAATGGACATAAATTATCAAACTTTCAGATACATTAATTTAAAATCACTCACTAATATTTCTACATAGCATTTGTGGTTCTTTTACTGCATAGAACAGAACTATAGAGTAGCCTGCTTTTCAATTTTGTTGCTACCGCTCTACAGGAATGTTCTAAATTAAAAGTTATGACTAAAAAATACAGCATCTGTAAAATTCACAATTTTCCCTCATTGAAAAGATCAGTCTGAGAGTAACAGCATGCACACACAAACACACCAATGACACAGGCACTAAAAAAAAAAAAAACATTCGCTACACCTCCAATAACTAAGATGTTTACAACAATATCTAGAAAGCACTGACAAGATAAAACTTTTTCTCCCTTTACTTGTAATACATTGAGCTATTGTGCAGAATCTAAACTAAATGTAGTTTGCACTGATGAAAAATTAAATTGTTCTAATTTTTTTTAGATGATAACATGATTGAAACTAGAAAAGCACTCCGAGAGCGCAGACCCCCGCCAAGGCAGAGATTTTTTATTTTTATTGATTATTGATTGATTATTGATCCGGATCACCACCAAAAACTAATCACCTCTAAGTTAACCCATTTCTGACCTAGCCTGAAAATTTCCTCAAAAATCGGTCCATAACTTTTTGAGTTATGTTGATGACAAACAGACAGACAGACAAACAGGGCTGAAAACATATTAACCTCCTTGGCGGGGGTAATTAGCTAATCAAGGACTCTCATTCAATACCTTTTTTTCCCTGAGGTTTAAAATAATAATTTACAAAATAATAAAACCAATTTAAAAGAAAAAACCAACATGATCTGAAATGTTTGTTCAAACACTGATCACAACATTTATGTCCATGTAATGATAAACTCGAAAACAAACATAAAAAGAAAATAATCAACTCTGCAAATTAACAACATAAAAAAGCCAAGAAACACATGAGCCAATAAAAGTCCCCATTCAGAATGGACGATCCGAGTACTAACTGATCCACCGACCACACTTCAAAAGAGATGCCGCTGATTCTCGATGATCTGCCTGTCTCCACACGAGCAGTTGCTGCAGGGGCCTAGCAATTAAACCGTGAAGCTGACATTTAATTCCTTTAATGGCGTGTGTGGAGGTGGAGAGACCATCAGGAATCAGCAGCATCTCTTTTGAAGTGTTGTAATTCATAACTAGTCTGTGGTTCAGTTAGGACTAGGATCATCTATTCTGAATGGGGCCAAACTCATTCAAAACCCTGTGTTAGGACTTGGACACACTTTTAATAGTCCTTGTCAAATTGAAAAATCTCTCTCGCGTCCCAAACATCACATCGTCCACTGTATACTGGGATTCGTTCTGCTTAAACACTTGACCTAGAATTATATTCAGTCCAGACATTTCATAACGGTGGCAACCAGAGTATTTATAACGCGGCTTGTAAATGAAGGAACATCCTGTGGCTTGTGCGCCATAGGGGGCGACACAGTCTTTCACAAGAGCACACTGCACCCAAGGCAGCATCAGTTGATCTTGAATAACCTGGGTATTGTAGAGTATCAGGTTATTGGCCTCGACCATGCGGTGGAAGTGATAGTCCTCAGGTTTTGTGTTGAAGAAGCCAAACATCTTTGGATGTGTCAGTGTTGATGTGGAATCCTTGCTGTCAAGAGTCCATGCTGAGAAGCCTGTCTTTTGTGCATGTTTTATAGCGCCATCTATATTACTAGCAACAAAGTATCTGTTGGCATCACTCCAGAAAACTGCTTGATGCTGCTTAAGTATTATCTGAAATACATATCAGGAATATTTTGCAAATAAATTAACATATCACATTAATTTCATATCCAGAAAAAATGAAAGTCTTCCATTCTACTTTCATTCATCCCCTTTTATTTTTAACAAAAATTATGTGTATTTTAGCATTTTTTAAAATAAATATATATAAGAAATAAATCAGGAAAAGTTAATGCTAATGAATTCACAGTAAAAGCAACATCTTAAGAAATACTCACAATGAGAACGAAGGGGACAAGGAGAGGAAGAGAGGGGGAAAGAGAGGTAGAAGGTGTGTGTGGGGGTGTGAGAAAAAGGGAGAGAGAGTGGGGAGATCTTTTCATATCCTCACCTGTATACACACTGGTTTATATGCTTTAATATCAAGGTCAGTCACATGTGATGGGAAATCTTCAAACTTAAATTTTCTTATTTCACAACTACTTGTGAAGTTGCACACTAATTTTAACTGGAAGGAGAAAAGATGAATTCGAAGTGAATCAAAGACCAACCATCATCAGATTTTGAACTGTCCTCCACTCAGCTGAGAGAGAAAAGAGGTGGTTACAAGATGATTCTGCCTCTGATGCTGAAGAACAGGACTTTATAGTGTAAATGAGACAAAATATTACTTTGACAAAAAAGAAAATTGTACCTTGCATTTCAGGCATTGTCCGTTAAATACACAATTAAATTAATAATTAAAATGAGAAAATATTTTTATAGGTGCATTTAAAGACTTGTGCTTTACAAACAAAATCATCTTAGACAGCACAAAGTTTTGGAATTGGCCCAAAATAAAGCAAGGTTTCAAGGGGATTGAAGGAGATCAGATCAGATATAAAATTCAGCATAATATCCGGTGAGGTTAGCAATGAATAAAAACTTACAGAACTTATCCACTTCACCCTGTTTTTGCTTATGAGTTAATCCCACCTCATTTAAGACTATCTTGGGGGATTTCCATAACAAGTACAAATTAACTTCTGCAGACAAATATGCTTGNAAAAATATAGTAAGAGTAACCTGCTTTTTAATTTTGTTGCTACCACTCGACAGGATTGCAATAATTTTAAGAAATTGTTACTTAAAACATACAGTACCTTGAAATTCACAAATTTCCCCAATGAGAAGTTATGAGTAATCACCATAATCACAGAGGACGTGCACATATCTCATTTATGGGGACAATTGTTATTGCTAATGAACATACCAAAATGCAGTGTCAATAACCACGCTTCAAATGTTCCACATTTGCGTATGTATAAGCCTTTCCTAAAAATATTATATGCATAATTAAATAAGGGGGCATTTTCTAGTCCAAATTGGCATATTTGCCTTTTCTTTTAAGAACATTATCATAGGACCACTGAAGTAGTCCACTTAAGTATGCAAAATGACTAATTTTGATTTTTAAAAAATCTCAGATTTTCTTGTCAGTCCTCCCTCTAGATGGCTTCTGTCTGTTATAGCAGTGTTGTGGGCACATATGCTATGTTATTATTCTTTTTCCACATTGTTTCTGAAGCATTTTGCGTAATAAAAATACTCATTAAAACAATTCCATGAAATTTGTTTTATTTCATCACTTGTCAGAGGGTTATTGACTATTTGGTAAGTTCTTTTTGGGGGTTGGACGTAAAAACGTACACAACAATATCATGACTCGATCTTTTCAATGGACATGAATTATCAAACTTTCAGATACATTAATATCACTATCTAATATTTCTACATAGTATTTGTGGTGCTTTTACTGCATAGAACAGAACTATAGAGTAGCCTGCTTTTCAATTTTGTTGCTGCCACTCTACAGGAATGTTCTAAATTAAAAGTTATGACTAAAAAATACAGCATCTGTAAAATTCACAATTTTCCCTCGTTGAAAAGATCAGTCTGAGAGTAACAGCATGCACACACAAAACACACCAATGACACAGGCACTAAAAAAAAAAACATTCGCTACACCTCCAATAACTAAGATGTTTACAACAATATCTAAAAAGCACTGACAAGATAAAACTTTTTCTCTCTTTACTTGTAATACATTGAGCTATTGTGCAGAATCTAAACTAAATGTTTGCACTGATGAAAAATTATATTGTTCTAATTTTTTTTTAGATGATAACATGATTGAAACTAGAAAAGCACTCCGAAAGCGCAGACCCCGCCAAGGCAGGGATTTTTTATTATTATTGATTATTGATCCGGATCACCACCAAAAACTAATCACCTCTAAGTTAACCCATTTCTGACCTAGCCTGAAAATTTCCTCAAAAATTGAGTTATGTTGATGACAAACAGACAGACAGACAAACAGGGCTGAAAACATATTAACCTCCTTGGCGGGGGTAATTAGCTAATCAAGGACTTTCATTCAATACCTTTTTTCCCTGAGGTTTAAAATAATAATTTACAAAATAATAAAACCAATTAAAAAAAAAAAACAACATGATCTGAAATGTTTGTTCAAACAGTGATCACAACATTTATGTCCATGTAATGATAAACTCGAAAACAAACATAAAAAGTAAATAATCAAATCTGCAAATTAACAACATAAAAAAGCCAAGAAACACATGAGCCAATAGAAGTCCCCATTCAGAATGGATGATCCGAGTACTAACTGATCCACCGACCACACTTCAAAAGAGATGCTGCTGATTCTCGATGATCTGCCTGTCTCCACACAAGCAGTTGCTGCAGGGGCCTAGCAATTAAACCTTGGAGCCAACATTTAATCCGTTTAATGGCGCGTGTGGAGGTGGAGAGACCATCAGGAATCAGCAGCATCTCTTTTGAAGTGTTGTAATTCATAACTAGTCTGCGGTTCAGTTAGTACTAGGATCATCTACTCTGAATGGCGCCAAACTCATTCAAAACCCTGTGTTAGGACTTGGACACACTTTTAATGATAGTCCTTGTCAAATTGAAATATCTCTCTCGAGTTCCAAACATCACATCATCCACTGTATACTGGGATTCGTTCTGCTTAAACACTTGACCCAGAATAATATTAAGTCCAGACATTTCATAACGGTGGCAACCAGAGTATTTATATCGCGGCTTGTAAATGAAGGAACATCCTGTGGCTTGTGCACCATAGGGGGCGACACAGTCTTTCACAAGAGCACACTGCACCCAAGGCAGCATCAGTTGATCTTGAATAACCTGGGTATTGTAGAGTATCAGGTTATTGGCCTCAACCATGCGGTGGAAGTGATAGTCTTCAGGTTTTGTGTTGAAGAAGCCAAACATCTTTGGATGTGTCAGTGTTGACGTGGAGTCCTTGCTGTCAAGAGTCCAAGCTGAGAAGCCTGTCTTTTGTGCATGTTTTATAGCGCCATCTATAGTACTGGCAACAAAGTATCTGTTGGCATCACTCCAGAAAACTGCTTGATGCTGCTTAAGTATTATCTGAAATACATATCAGGAATATTTTGCAGATAAATTAACATATCACATTTATTTCATATGGGATCCAAAAAAATGAAAGACTTCCATTCTACTTTCATTCATCCCCTTTTATTCTGAACAAAAATTATTTGTATTTTAGCATTTTTTAAAATTAATATATATAAGAAATAAATCAGGGAAAGTTAATGCTAATGAATTCACAGTAAAAGCAACATCTTAAGAAATACTCACAATGAGAACGAAGGGGACAAGGAGAGGAAGAGAGGAAGAGAGGGGGGAAGAGAGGTAGAAGGTGTGTGTGGGGGTGTGTGAGAAAAAGGGAGAGAGAGAGGGGAGATCTTTTCATATCCTCACCTGTATACACACTGGTTTGTATGCTTTAATATCAAGGTCAGTCACATGTGATGGGAAATCATCAAACTTGAATTTTCTTATTTCACAACTACTTGTGAAGTTGCATGCTAATTTTAACTGAAAGGAGAAAAGATGAATTCAAAGTGAATCAAAGACCAACCATCATCAGATTTTGAACTGTTCTCCACTCAGCTGAGAGAGAAAAGAGGTGGTTACAAGATGATTCTGCCTCTGATGCTGAAAAACAGGACTTTATAGTGTAAAGAAAATTGTACCTTGCATTTCAGGCTTTGTCTGTTAAATACACAATTAAATTAATAATTAAAATAAGAAAATATTTTTATAGGTGCATTTAAAGACTTGTGTTTTACAAACACAATCATCCTAGACAGCACAGAGTTTTGGAATTGGCCCAAAATAAAGCAAGGTTTCAAGGGGATTGAAGGAGATCAGATCAGATATAAAATTCAGCATAATATCTAGTGTGGTTAGCAATGAATAAAAACTTACTGAACTTATCCACTTCACCCTGTTTTTGCTTATCAGTTAATCCCGCCTCATTTAAGACTATCTTGGGGGATTTCCATAACAAGTACAAATTAGCTTCTGCAGACAAATATGCCTGGTCACATGTTATATCTGTATCCACTTGTACATTGTTCTTTTATCCTTACAACATTTGTTCCTTTCTGCATTTGCCTTACTGTACCTTATTAAGATCATATGAGCCAAGACCTAAGTCAAATACCACAGTTTTCAATAGTTTCTTCAAAAACTTTTTCTTCGACTCAAGCAGAAGCTGTACCTGAATGAAAAACATAATAAATTCATTGAACTTCACAGAAATTATAATAAATAGTGAGTAACAGCTAAATAATATTTTAAGAATACATACTTTCCTTCATTATAAAAGATTATTCAAGCAGTTTACTTGCTGTAAAATTGAAGCATCTTGACAGAGAAGAATTTCATCAGCTATTTCAATATTAAGCTGATGACAGAAGAAAAATTACTTCATTATGAAGCATCTTAAATTCTTGTCAAACAAATACATCCTTTTAGATGTGTGTGTGTGTGTTTGTGTGTGTGTGTGAGAGAGAGAGAGAGAGAGAGAGGGAGGGAACGAGACGGAGAGAGAGAGAAACCAGACTTCCTGTATACTTACTTGTTCTGTATTCTTAGAAGACACAGCAGTCACTAAATACGGCAATACATGTTCCTTCCCTACTCCCCCTGCAGGATAATTGTTAGTACTGTAATTAAACCCCAATAAATCCAGGTACTTTTCATCCAAAACTAAAGTCTTTTCTCGAACAATCTGAACATTTTTAAGATTGGAGATCTGCTTATGTGTCTCGGTGACAATAGTTCGTATGTGTGGTGTTGGATTGACTGCTAGCCATATGGTGGCCGAGAGGGTGAGGAGAGACAGGATGAGGATGAAAAAGTTCTTGGTCTTCATAAAGCCTATCATCCCAGCGGCAGCCGTCATACATGTACACTTTGCCTCAGTTCACTATCCCTAGAGATATTGGTCTCTGGAAAAAGAATTCACCTTGGCGTGAAGACTGTACATGTGGCAAGAATCAGACAGTGAAATCTATAATGCATTTATAATTGTATTTATCACTGTGCAATGCGTAATATAAAACAAAGTTACTCACTAGCTTATTAATTAGTAAATATGTTTAAACTTTCGAGAATAATAAGATTTAACTTGAATGATCAGTACATTTCCTGATCACTAGTCACCATATCGTTACATGTTGTTAGTTCATATTTTGTCAGTTTCTTTTATCTCGTAACCCCTCCTCTTAACTCTTCTTATGATCACTGAGTTTTCTGTCAAAATTAAAATACACATACGATTGCTGCTAGTTGTCGATTGCTAGTACACTTTCACGGATCTATCTTCAAGACCATAAGCACCATGCAAAGTCCCTGTGAAAGCATAGTGTTCAACAACTGGCAAAAACACACCTCTTTTCCGTTTTCCTAGGTGATATTGTTTTTGGGATTACCCGCAGACAACCATTTTGGGAAGTGACGTCATTATGCGTGCAATGGATGCGCGGCACACATGGGGACGGGTTTTTTTTTTTTTTTGTGGGAGAGGCAGAGGGTGTTCGAAAAACAAACACGATTTGCTGTTTCATCAACTGTATTTTATGTTTGCATGTCCATTGGGTTTGGTATTTAAGAATATAGAAATCTTCATAAACTCAATTTTCACCGTGTAGTATTGGGAGTAATTTTAGGTGTGCATGCATATATACAGGCTTTTCCCACGCTATGATACAGCTACAAGGTGCCATGTAGGCCTACGTCATATTACTGCATTGTCAATATTTGGGTTTTATGAAATTTGTTGTTAACACTTAACCGATTGTGTTTTTTTTTTTTCCTACTATAGGTGCTGTAATTATAAGTTGACCGTTTTTCATTAAAAAAAAAAAAAAAAAGATAATGGGAAGAAGCAGAAAGAAAGATAGGAAAAAAGGCGTAGGGCCTACTAGTAGACGGTGCACTAGAGGTAGGCCTACTGTAGGTCTACGTACACAATGGGTACTGTTATCAGGTAAAAAATATTAAAAATGTCAAGCAGCCGATCAATAAAGAAAAAATCCCGAGAGCAGTTTGCCAATTTCACGGCTTGGGCTTATTTAGGCTACCAATTTATGCCTTTCAAGATTTGATCTGAAAACAGCAAAAGCAATGGAGGTAATTTTTTTTTTTTTTTTTTTTTTTGTAACTGGACACTGTAACAATTAATCTAAGCTCAAATTAAAATAGCTAAATTGTTGCTTCTCTTCTCCATATGTGGACTCAGCAGCATTTCGTCTTCAGAAGAGTTTTTTTTTTTTTTTTTTTTTGTTCTCGCTTGTTTGGTCAGAATATGCACATGTCCGTAGCTATTGTTTCATGATTTACAGCACCGCACAGGGCATAAATCAGTGTTGGAATAAAGGAAGGTGAGAGTGACGTCGGATGTGTTGGAGACCAGACACTTCCCTTCTCTGTGACTTGATAAAGAGATTAAAAGAGTGCCTCTTCTGGGTGTTTCAGAAAGTCGGAACCAAAAACAAGAAAATAGAATTTGGACGACATGAAACTTCCTCTCTGATCGACGCAAATTCTGGAAAATTTAATAATTCCTTCGACATGTGCCACCAGCATGTCACTTGAACAGGACCCACCCAAAGTAGACATACCAACATCCCCTTTTTTACATGAAAACTTGGTTCACACTGTCTTCGTTTTCCCCATAAAATGTTTATCAAATGCTTACTTAGGTCTTAGGCCTATTCATCGGGTTGGCCATATCTTCAATATCTTAATTGGCTCTGCCGATATTATGCTCGCTTCTTCAGCTTGAAGACAATAGATTTTTTGGTTAGTTTAAGGGGGGGGGTCTAATATTGATAAACATTACCAGTATATAACATACGGTATGCTATCCCGTATGCCTCTTTATACAGTATTGAAAATCAAGTAAGATCGACTGTAGAATTTAAATTAAAATCCAAAAGATATCGACAAGAATATTGTTTTACTTTCATAAAGAGATGCAGCGGTTGGATAGAAGCTTTTAAGTATATTTTGCTTCCTCTAAATGTTAAAAGTCTATTTTTGCTTGAGAGAAATTTCAAAGGTCTAATCGACAATATCGTTTCAGTTTTGGATAGGCCTAACACTCTTTCCAAATAAATGCCTCTCGGGCAAGGCAGATTCCACACCACAATTATATTAGCTGTGCCTATCAGTAACTATCTAATTAATTATCTACCTAAGACGCCATTCCCATAGATTTTAGATCGATCTGTCCCTGTGGGGAGTCTCACTGTCAGCTCAGCCGGCTTAAGCGTCTGTCCTGCCTACTAAAAGCTGTAAGGGGGCAATTAACTATGGTGCCCGCTCGGCTGACTGCAATTCAGCGTGAAACCCCCAGGGAGTTAGGTCGATCTAAATCTAAATTTCTGGATCGATCTAATACTCTGGGAATGCACCCTAGGACGCATGGTAGATCTTATATTGGTGCAGTTCCCAGTATCCAGTGGATCTCAGGGTGCTGTCAAGAGTTTGGAATCCTATAGTGTTATCAAAGTAAAAACAAACCCACGCCGTGAAACCCTGATTTACCCAGGAAAGTGTTAACAAAGTACACATGTAGAAACAAACATAAGCCAGAAAGTCCTGATTTACCCAGGCCAAGAAAACTGTCCTGTGTAAACTGGCTTTTGAACACACGCACGCTCTCTCTCTCTCTCTCTCTCTCTCTCTCTCTCTCTCTCTCTCCACACACACACACACACACACACACACACACACACACACAAAAAAAAAAAATCTTTAAAAATTTTACTTTTTTGTACCATTTGAATACTGTTTATAAATAAGCGGACTTGATTGACCTCTTGATTAGGCAGTTCTGTTTATTCACTATGGAACTTGACATGGCTCCTGTGGCTTGCACGATGCTGCGTGATGTTGGTTATTGCATGGAGTTTTAAGTCCGTTTGGTGCGTGCCTTGTTGAACGCGTGATCGATCCTTTCACTCGCTCGGTCAAGCAGTAAACTTTTGCGTAAAGTAAGTCAAGTTTCTGTTTTGTATAAAACAAATTTCTTAATCACACGTACGGCAATTGTATTCCAGTGACCTTTTCTTTTCCTTTTTTTAAGCTATAAAATTTTTAAAAAATATTTCTCACAAAAGCGTTCTTTTGTTTTTAATTCTTTTCGTTCTTTGGGCGTCATCGTGAGTCTAAAGACGCAATAACATGTTTTGCTTTGCGCCACATCGCGACTCAATCAGGGGCAACCTTTGGCATCTGCCCAGCGTATAAAGATAAACGCGTTTATGTCATTTTCTTGACGAAAAACACGCTTATCCCTTTTTTTTCTGAACTTTTGAAGTTCTGATCCCATAAAACAAGGGAAATAGCATGTAACTGAAACTGACTGGGAGAACGAGTTCTAAATTAAATCAGCCTGTGGAAATCATGTTGGTGTCAAGGTTATGCTAAAAAGAGAAAACAAGGCCGAAAGGACAGCGAATACAAACCAATGGAGTAGGCTGAGTATGGTTAAAACACCAATAGGGGGTTTTCCGACTTAAACGATTGTTTTAGGTGCCAAAGAGCAACAAATTTACCAAATTCCTTTTTCGAGGTTAACGAATTTATGTTTATGTCCCTCTATATACATCGTACCAGAAAATAATCAAGGAGGGGGGGGGGGGGTAGTTCAGACCAAGCCCAGCACCTCCTTGCATCAAAATCCAGAGGAACGAATACGCCTCTTAAAAACATATGTAGCTTGGATTAATATAACCATATTTTGATATACCATGTAATCTGATAAAGTCACTTGTATTGGATGAAACCCGGCCCATTCCAAAGTTGGCCTGTCAGTCTATAGGTCTACTTAAAAAACCGACAATAAAAGGGGACTTCATTCCCCTTTAAGTTAATTTATTTAGCCTACATATCAGATGTTTTTGCATCAAAAGGATAACAACTGGTCAAGGCATCGCCGCTTTTCAATAGTTTTGCAACGCGTGGAATATGGTCAAGTTAATAGGTGAAAGTTACTTTATCAAAGGCTTGATCGACCTTCCAGGTCTTGAAAGGCAAACAAAACGCAGCGAAAACGATGTCCAAAATCAATGTTGCGCGTGGCACGTGACCGTCACGTGATCACAGGCAGTTTCAGTCTGACATAAAAGACCCAGAACCGCTGCTGCGAACGCTTATCGAAGAAAACTACCGTAGTCTAACTTTAGGCGGAAGACTTGGGAACAACTGTCCGTCAAAATGATGAAATATGGAGTGATCTTCGTGCTTTTGATAGGTGAGTCCATGTTTACCCTGTGGTCTACAAGTGGGTGTGACACAGAGAAAAGTAAGCGTAGGCAAAGCGTTCTTTATTTTATGCAGCCTACCTGTTGGAATTAAAATCTTCTGGGCACTTAATAACGTAACGGTTATGTGTTTGTTCCACATATTATTCTCATATTACAGGATTTTTTATTCGACATTTCCCTAAATAAAAAATAACGCCAAAGTGCATGGCTTTAAGGAAACTTCATATAGCTATCTACGAATCCTAGGCAGGGTGCAGCTTATATAATTAAAAGTAAAGGAAAAATGCATGGTTTTAAGGAAAATTCATAACTATCTTTGAAAATTCAGGGTAAAGCTTAAATGAAATTAAAATTAACACCAAAACGCATGGTTTAGGGAAAGTTCATGGCTATCCTTGAAAAATCAATGTGCAGTTAAAATATAATAAAAAGTAACACCCAAAATACATGGTTTTATTGGAAGTTCATAACCAAATTCAGGGTCAAGCTTATATTTAAAATATTAAATTTATTTTATCTCCATGTTGGCAATGTGACAGTATAAAGAGACGACGGGCGTCTTGCCTTGAGCTAAACATTCTGAATTTAGCTGCCTCGGCTGTTGGGTCTTTCCTTTGTGTGTATAAATAGCAGTTTCTCATGTCAACGCTCTGTGTTCCTGCAGGGTTGGTATTCCAAACCAGATGTCAGTGTTTGTTATTGCCGGAACTGTTGTAACAGTTGGGAGCCACGTGTTTTGCAGAATCACACGTACGGGAGCCACAACCTGGTCTTTGTCTCACGCGTATTCTGGCTTATGTTCTCAACCAAGATATATATCAAGATTAAGCAGCGATGTAGATATAGTAATAATAAGTAATTTATTCCAGCTTGTTATGTTACACGTTTATCATTGTTGGCTGTTTATGCTACTTTTGCTTCTTCTGTTTGTTTACATAGTATAGGAAAGAAAAAAGTACATGTATATGTACCAATTGCAATAGATGATTTGATAAGATACGTACACAATTGACAGTAATAAACTTTATTAGTTTTAGCAATGCTAAGATAGGCAATAATAATCTTTATTAGTTTTAGTAGAATAATGCCATAGGTAATATTAAGTTAAAATTGTATGTATATACATATAAATAACACTATACAGGTACAACCAGTAGTCTATATTCAAGGCTGATAATTGTAATATAACTGTACAGGTGTTGTTTCTGTATATTTAATTTTATGAATATATGAAATTGCTGCAAGTCTGTTTACATATGACTAGGGACCAAGTGAATGTCAGTGTCACTGTGCTTCCCACGAAGTGATCGTGTATATTGGTACAAGCTTTATTTATTTATTTATTTATTTATTTATGGCAGTCGTGGTATCTGGAGAGAGACAGGGCTAATTACACACAGGTTAAGTCAGTTAGTGATGTTTAAATTACGTCTTCCACATTTTTTCTTTTCTTTTCTTTGTTTTTTGTTTATTTATTTAATTTTTTTTAGGGGGTTGAAGGCGCACGGGAGAGCGCGATTATTTTTACAAGAAAGCTTGAACGAGTTCTCTCTCCCTCTCTTTCTCAAATCTTTGATGCGATGTTACAAACACTAATTATCGTTTATGAGACAAGATTGTCAGATACTGCAAGCCGATCTGTCTCATCCATAGCATGACCTAAAATAGATCAAGTCTCCGAAGTATGATTAGTTTTTGTTGTTATATTTCAGCACTGGCTTTGGGCGCCCGTGATAGAGCGCGCATGGTAAGCCGCGCTTGTCAAAAAATCCGAAAAACTGGCGAATGCCCTCGACCTATGATTGGGAAGTTCTTGTGCAAAGACTTAGGAAACGGGGAAATAGAACACAAGAATTTGTAAGTTAATAACTTGAAACGCACGTTTGTTAAAGTCTCCTCCTCTTCCCTACCTCTCCTCTCCAAAACACAGGCCCCTTAAATCTCATTTCATATATAGAATGAAATAAAATGAAAGCATTTGAATTTAATTCAGTAACGAATATACCGGTATAGCCTCGATATCGATAACAACAAACGCTTATCCATGAACTCTGTTTGTTTGTTTGTTTGTTTGTTTGTTTGTTCCAATATTCTTTTTTTCCTCGATAATTCCAGGTGCCAGTTCATGAAGGACAACTGCCATGACCCCAGAGAAGACGGCTATCACCTGTGTGACGCAGACAAAGAACCAATCACCCACCGCAGCTCGGGTCACGTGGACGGGCAAGGGAGGTTCCATGCGCACGGTCGAGGCGGTTACCATGACAGCGAGGGTCACTACCACAATCACGGACGTGATCAACCGCACCACCATTAACCGGGAACGTCGAGAATTTCGTGATTTTGAATTGGAATTGAGAGTAGCTGTTAGGCCACGTGACTTGTTAGTTTTCTGATGTAGTCATCTTACAAACTGGGGGACATACATGTATATGTTCTATGTCAACTGCCAAATGGCAGGATCGAATTCTTTGGTGAGCCTTAAATACTCAACCTAAAACTGTGAAACATAGACGCACATTTGTCAGTAACAATTTAAAACTATTTCTATTCAACAACTGTACCACCTAAGTTTTAGAATTAAAGCTTTAGTTTTTTCCAGAAATGTCATTGCCTTTGTTTGTTTTATTTTAATGCATTTTCTTAATTTAATCTTTTAAAGAAAACACACTTTAAAAGAAACGTAATCCAGTGATAAAGTGTCATTAACTTGGTCAAACCTACAGGTAGGGGCGTCTTTATGAACTTAAACTTTAAACCTCCTATTACGGCTGCAGATAGGACATTAAGACACCTTAAGCGAACGATAGAATAACAGAATAATATTTAAATATGGCCTAATCTAAATTTCCCATCATTTTCGCTGTTTTATACTTTACTCTTCAGTATGGAAAGAGAAGAGAAAAAGTAATAGAAAAGCAAGTCCTTGGTTTGCACCACGATATTATCCTAAGTGTGTCCGTCACTTTCGTGACTGGAATTTCAAACGTTTTGTGAAATGAGACAGACAATACCCATTTTCAATGTGCCTTTATTTGAGTTTGAATTATTCTTGGAGCACCGTTCAAGTACTATGAAGCGAAGTTTGTTGTGAGTTTCCGTGTGTACAATGTGCCCCTTTAACTGAATGTATACAGTGGCGGGTGTTTCGCTTGCCTTCTAGGCATGGGCGTCCGCAGGGGAAGACAATGAGGTTAGTTGACCCCCTGGAATTTTGGCAGGTACGTTAATTGTGGGTACCCAGCCAATCATTAACTCCGCCTTCAATGATTTTGACCCCCTTGGTTAAAAAAAGGAAATTCAAAATTACGCAGAGGGGCGACCGATGCCTGGCAGTTAGTTTCATAAAGTATAAAAAATAAATGAATGTTGCCCATGGTTTTATAGCGCTTTGAATAGACGGAAAGAAGTGGCTTTTAAGCATAAAGATAAAAACTTGTCCACCGGGATCAACATTCATCGTAATTAGGGGATTTTTTTTCAATAATTGATCCGTTTTAAGTTTTTATAGGATGACGCTTGGGCAGGGACGGCTCAAGTCATGCAAAAATAAAAGAATGGAATACAAAATCAAAAAGCCAAAACAACAACAACATCATCATTACATTTATTTTTATAACAGCAAAAGCAGTTATGAAAAGAATTACATTTCTTAAAATCTGACAATACAACGTAATTTACCTTACGAGATCATGAAATACATGAAATACAAATATCACAGGAATGACGAGCGCATTCATGGAGCATCCATTCCAATTTCAGTGTATTCAACATTTCTTCACGACTCAATCACCCTTCATTCCCCACAGTGTTAGAAATTGAACATAGATGGCGCTATTATCCAATGGAGAGGGATTCAAAAACAGACAAAGTTAACTCTCCCTAACCCCTTTCTTCTCCCTCTCTCTCTCTCTCTCTCTCAACGAAAACTATACAGCACGCAAACAGCACGCAAGAACGCACAAATTAAAATATATATGAAATAAATAATTTCTGTTTATATTGAATCAAAAACAATGGAATTAGCAATAATATTCTTGCTGCTTCAAACGACCTAAAACTCCAATATGCCACCCGGAAGTGATACCTTCTGAGGCTCTGGTTGGTCAGAAGTGTCGGTGACATAAGGGGGCGGGGCAATCGCCTGCTCGTCCTCTCGAAGATTGACGCGAGACTGATATGAGGGTGGGGCCTAAAAACCAAAAGGTAATAATATAAAATTGAAATAATTGATAAATCCTTCTTAAACGAAGAAGAAGGGTGTTGCATTAGGAAATATATGACAATGCATTCTTTATTATTTCGTTATTGATAGCACTTTTTTGTTATTTTATTTTATTTTATTTTATTAAATTTTATTTTTAATTTTATTTATTTATTTATTTATTTTTGCAACAAGGTTTCTTTTCCAGGCCCCATGCAGATAGACACAACTCTGCAGGGTTTCTCGCTGAGTGTCAGCGGGCCATGCAGAGTCTTAAATTTTTGGATAGATGCATCTTCGTACTGTCGAGACGTAGCGTTGGGTAGTCGACCGACGCTCACTGTTCATGAGGTGGATTTGAAGAAGAATTGTCAATGTTTCTGAAATGCTTACCACAACTGTGAATATATCCAGATGAGACGAGTCTGTCACCATTGGGGTCACCATATTTCTTCCATTAATGGCCTGTCTGGGCGCTTGCGTTTGATTAGCAGACGATCTGTTCCCCCCTGGTATGCTAAGGGAGGCCCCGTTATTTGGAGTGTAACGAACTGTGCCTCCTGTCATTTCCCGCCGCAGTTTTTTCTTTTGCTGGCGATGTACGACCTGATTAATAATATAGATATTCGTAACTAGATACTTGGAGAAAGATTTTAAAATATTATCTTAATTACCACTTACCATATTTTTTTTCAAAACGGGCGAATTGCTTTCATGTTAATGTAATACGATGTTAATCAAGTCGAACACACACACACACACACAAAAAAAAAAAAAACCCAACCTGTAGTGCGGTGATGATTATCGCCATGAGAGCCAGAACGCCACCGATGATGAGAATAACAGCCCAGTAGGAAAGGGTTACATTGCCAAAGCCGTTTTTGTTTGTTCCGCTTGGTGAGAGCGTTCCATCGTTATAGTCAATAGGACGGAAGTAAGCACGAGTTGACTGTGAAGAAGAGGGGGCTACAGTGGTCCTGCTTGCTTCTCGTGGGGATGTAGTTGTAGCTGAAATAAAATTAATTGGGCAATTTCAAAGCATTGGAAACAGCAGATGGAAATTTGAAAGGCCTCGGTGTGTTATTTTCGTGGGATCTCTGCACCATCCCCATCACCCTCACCCTAAATATGTGTTTGTAAATAAACGTTTACGTCAGATGACCACGGATGACGTAACGCGTGGTGTGATTTTGACGACACATGAATGATCGGCGAGAATGCATTCCTTTCTTACATACATGTATTTCTTTCTAGCACTCTCAACCAGAGTCACAGAGACAAGTTTTTCTTTAGTACTAAGACTACAAACATTTAAGGCTATTCACTTGCGGTACATGTTTCTGTACCGTAGGGAATTTTGTACAAAATGACGTCATCAAGCGCTTAGCTGCCTCAGGTAGAGCGTTTATTTCTTCATCTAAACCAAATCCAGTTTGGGAAAAACAAATATTTTAGCCTCTTACCTCGTGTAAAATAAGGCACATTTAAAGTGTAAACGTCAGACAAACTGCCATAATTGATTGAGTAGGCCGGCCGTACGCTTTTTTAACCAAACGATCAAATTTGTACGGCCTAATTCGATCATCTGAAAAATTGTGACAAATACATCATTATGCCTTTGGTCACCATGACCCTCCATTAAAAATAAGAAAAGATTCAAGACGAGGACAGTTCCGCAAATGTCTCTTTAACGTATAATCGAGTCTTCCTACCTGGATCACACCTGGAGAGCGTCTCGTCAGAATTGTCTCCACACTGGTCATAGCCGTCACAGAGCCGACTGGTGAAGACACACTCCTTGTTACCGCACTGCCACAGGTAAGAACGGCTACAGCCTGAAATAATTGAAAAAAAAATAAATAGGTAAATAAATGAATAAACAGGTAGATAAATGAATAAACAAATTACCCCTGAACACGGTTCTGACTTGTTCCGACGGGAATTGTACTTACTTATAAACGGCGGTGTCTGTGTGTCTCCAGGTTCTGCAACAGAAAGAAAAATAGATTGACATTTAGAAAGCTGTATTATGGTTATATCTATCTATACATCTATCTATCTATCTGCCCGTCAGTCCTTCTGTTCGTCTGTCCTCATTCACCCACTGCACTTCTCCCTCCCTCCCTCCCTCCCTCCCTCCATCCATGCTGAGTATATTATCAAGTGCCGGAGACGTCATTTATAGTACTTTTTGGACCTCTTCTTCAAATATTCCTCAGCCACCCGTTAATCACATATATGACAAGGTATTATACCCCTACGAAAATTTGTCTCATTTAACGTTCACTTACGGTTCTCAATCTATTCTAGAGCATTTGGTGTATTTTTGGAGTTCTGATGTTGTTCTGTAATGAATGTTATAGTTCGAGAACTGTTTTTTGGAAGTCTTTCAGAATGTCCTACAACAGATTAAGAACAGTTTTCATTAAAAGAGGAAAACATCATGTTCTAGGAGAGATTGAGAACCGTAAGTGAGCGTTAAATGAGGCAAATTCCCGCAATAACCTCTCCCACGGTCCCGGCTTTGCCTTACCACAATCACTGAGGTAATATGAAAGGCACTACTCACGCCCGGGGGTGGTTGTGTACGACATATTAAACCCATTCCCGGAGATGGAATGGTCACTTTTGAATTTTATGCCCAGCCATCGACTCGAGCTTGTCTTGACGGCGGCAGGGGTCGCTGGATCACTGTTTGCATGCATACAGTGAAAGTATAGCTCTTGTGTGTTGCTGCACGGGCCATCACAAACCTGTCAACCAAATCAATAAACTCATCAATTGATCGACCAATACAGGTATTTCTGGGTTAACGATGTAAATCAGTCCCTTCATTGGTTTTTCAAATTATTATTTTGCAATATTCAACTTTTTTGCAAAATAAATTAAAAAGCAAACAATTCATAAAACTACTGCTGTACTTACTTGGACATAGTCCCTGCACAGTATACGCCTTTGGTATAATGCGGCTTGCAATATGACATAATTGATGGTCAGTCTAACCCTTTGACCCACTGGAGCCTCCAGCAACCACACACAGTACTCCTCGTCGTCATAGCTCGCGCTCTCCCCGTGACCTGGTGACGTAATGGTCCCCTCTGGGGTCAGGCTGAGATTAAGGAAGCCCCCGCATGTACCCCAGGTGGAGGTGGTGGCAGCGAGTGGGACAGAAACGAGAACCAGAAAGGCGGCCGTGGTTAGATATTTGACGGAGAACATGGCTGAATGTATGGGAACTACTGAAAATAAAATGAAAAAGATGAAATAATGTGAATTGATATGTGGATTATTTCACAAGAAATGGCACTCTGAGTACTCTAGCAATGTGTACCGGTATAATGACTGACATGGCTTTCTGCTTCATGGCTTTCCTGCAAGGCGCTTATATCTTCCAAATTTACCATTTATCATGTCTCCTGCTGTGGCAAAAAGGCAGTTCATCTACTTGTAAAATTACCCATTAAAAGACAAAAGGAGTTAGGAATCAAAGTCATGGTCTCCGAAAGCCTCCGATTGCGCATGTCTGATGAATCTTAAGCTAATGCAAGTACAGATAACAGCGGGGAATGTATTTTTGTCAAAGTTACCTTAAAAACGCACTGTAAAAACTGATTTTATTGAGTAACTTAATCCACCCAGGAATACCATTGACGTAAAGCTCAGCTCTGGTGACAGCATGAAAGTATATATAGATATACATCCATGGTGACAGTAGGATAAAACGGTACAGCCATGAATATACCATGTGTTTTGTTCTGTAGTATGCCTTGTCACTGAGGTTGAATGATAAGGTAAACCGTCTGCCTGTTATATAAACCTGCCTTGGTACAAAACAAATCATGATCACAGATAAAATATATCAATATGAAGAAAACAGACGGAAACTGAAAATATATTTTATGGCTTTGGTTTCTCTTAGACGACAACCTCATTTATCAAAGCTTTTGATTTACTGTTCTGGGGTGGGTGTTGTCAAAAATTGAGAAGTAAATGGACGATAACGACGTCGACGGCGTACCGGTTTATTGCATATTCATCTGTTATGACAACAGGGCCTACGTGTTCCATAGATATGTGCATAATTGGCTATATCATCAGAAATAATCATCGTTATAGTTGTCCAGTTCTATCTCTAAGACATGAAGAAGTCTCCAAAAATAAATACCTCCTAGTACTTTTAATATTAATCTATTTCATTTCAGCATTGGAACTAATTTCATTACCTAAGGATAATTACCACGCATCCACTATAAAGATAATTTTAAGATACTATAGGGCCTATTTAAAACGCCACCAGACTGGTGAAATTAATTAGGTTGAAAGTCACTTCTCGATCGTGGTCTCATTCGCTAACAGACACGCAGGGGGTGGTAGGTTAATGGTTTATTATGATGAATAAGTGAAATAAACTACTGTGCAGGAGTTTGCAAAGGTTCTCTTATGTGCACCTTAAATTACATCATCATCATCATCATCAATAATAATAATGAATTGATCCAAAAATGGAAGGGTGGGCTCCGACTTGCACACTAAATTTTTAAAATACTCAATGTATCTATTGAGACAGTATCAAAAAGTAGGTTTCTATGTCATTACTATAAGTCAGGCACGGTAGCATGCAGTGCTTGACTTCGAGACATCTGTATATTTTCCCAGTTAATAAGACTTGCCCATGGAGAGACGGCATTGTTGGCCTCATCACCATTCGACCATGCTGTGATATGCTGTATATGTTTGACCAGGCAGTCTGACGATTTACTGCAGACTTTACCAGTAACGACACTACAGACACCTGCTATAACGTCGATCAAAAGGCGAGTATTATACATTTGTACCTAACAACCAGTGCTTGGTATCAAGTATTTTTGTCAAAGTTACCTTAATAACGCACCGTAAAACTGATTTTATTGAGAAATTTTATCCACCCAGGAACCCCATTGACGTAAAGCTCAACTCTGGTGACAGCATGGAAATATATATATATATATATATATATATATATATATATATATATATATATATATATATATATATTTCCATGGTGACAGTCGGATAAAACGGTACAGCCATGAATATGTTTTGTTCTGTAGTATGCCTTGTCACTGAGATTGAATAATAAGGTGAACCGTCTGCCTGTAATCTAAACCTGCCTTGGTACAATACAAATCATGATCACAGATAAAATATATCAATATGAAGAAAAAAGATGGAAACTGAAAATATATTTTATGGTTTGGGTTTCTCTTAGATGACAATCTCATTTGTCAAAGCTTTTGATTTACTGCTCTGGGGTGGGTGTTGTCAAAAAATGAGAAGTAAATGGACGATAACGACGTCGACGGCGTACCGGTTTATTGCATATTCATCTGTTATGACAACAGTACCTACGTGTTCCATAGATATGTGTTTAATTGGCTATATCATCACAAATAATCATCGATATATTTGACCATTTCACTCTCTCAGACATGAGGAAGTCTCCGGAAATACTTCCTTGTACCTTTAATATTAATCTATTTCATTTCAGCATTGCAATTAATTTCTTAACTTAAGGACAATTACCACGCGTCTACTATAAAATAATTTTAAGATTCTTTTGGGCCCATTTAAAACGCTACCAAACTGGTTTAATTATTGTAATGTTTAAAGTCACTTCTTGACGGTGGTCTTCTTCGTTAACAGACACGCAGGGGGTGGTAGGTTAATGGTTTATTATGATTAATAAGTAAATTAAACTGTTGTGGAGGTGTTTGCAATGGTTCTTAAATTACAACATCATCATCATCATCGTCAATTATAATAATGAATTGATCCAAAAATGGAAAGGTGGGTTCCGAGTTGTCCCAAAATCTTTAAAATACTCAACGTATCTATTGATACAGTATCAAAAAGTAGATCACTATAAGTCAGGCACGGTAGTCTGCCATGCAGCACTTGTTCTTGACTTCGAGATATCTGTATATTTTCTCTGTCAATAAGATTCCAAAGACTTGCCCATGGAGAGACGGCATTGCTGGCTTCGTAACCGCTCGACTGAGCTTAGCAAAATATCAGGCCTGCTGCAAACTATCTCACAAATTCACTGCAAATTTGCAAGAAATTCTGCAAAAGCTTGAATACCTTGCCGCTTGAAAAATTTGCCGCTAATTTGCCTTAACATAAAGACTTTTCTTGAAAACCTGCTGCAAACTGAAGTTGTTAAGGCAAATTTGTTGCAAATAAGCAGCAATAAAATTGTTTCTTGCAAACTCCAGCAAACTAATTTACTGCAATTTTGGATCAATATAGCTGCAAACGTTTCATTTTGCTAAGGGTGTTGATATGCTGTATATGTTTGATCAGGAAATTTGACGATTTAATGCACACTACAGACATAACGTAGATGAAAATGCGCGTATTATACATTTGTACCTGAAAACCGGTGCCTGGTATCAAGTACTCCTCTTACCTTTATACGTAGACTCCCAAATTCATGTTCCCCTTGCTGTGTTTCCGTCCCAGTTTCTGTGCCCGCCTGCCAAATTCTCTTCAGTAAAAAAGACCAGCAGGCACTTTGCATTAAGTGTTTATGAACAGTGTATGAACAGGTAGACCTAAACGCCGAGTATTTATGTCACTCCAACTATATGTTCATCGATCGCGCTGCTGACTGAATTTCCAATGTGTTTCCACTCCCTAAGCAGCATACCACCAAACAATAAACACCACTAAAGATACATGCGTGCGCTGCAATGTATAAAAGTGTTGCAAAGCCTATATATCTTGAATTTAAAATATTGTTTAAGTAAATATTTCACAGGAAAATCGACGCCATCTTGAAAATGATGGCCATCTTGAAGACGTTGTATGATCAGATGCATCATGTAACATATAGCACTCTTATATGTGTGAGCTAGACAATAATTATTTGATAATTTAGCTGAACCAAATTCCACGTCATAACTAGAAAAGCACTCCAAGAGCGCAGACCTCCGCCAAGGCAGCAGTTTTTATTATTATTGATTTAAGGGAAGTATACTTATTTATTTATTTATTGTCAACAATTGGCCCTTTTAAGTTTTTTATAGGATGAAGCTCGGGGCAGAGACGGCTCCAGTCATGCGACATGGAAGAATGCAATACAAAATCAATTTCGCCAAAACAACAACAACAATACTAAATTAATAAATGATTTTTATGACAGCAAAGCCGACTATGAATTAGAATTACATTTCTTAAATTCTGATAATACAAAGTTATTCACCTGTCGAGATCATGACTCACAAGGGTCCAAATATCACAGGCATGACGAGCGCAATCATTGACCATCCATTCCAATTTCAGTGTATTCAACATTTCCTCACGTCTCAGTCATCCTTCATTCCTCACACTGTTAGAAATTGCACCTAGATGGCGCTATTATCCTATGGAAAGGAATCCAAAAACAGACAATGCCAACTCTCTTTAACCCCCACCTTCTCTCTCTCTCTCTCTCTCAATGAAAACTATACAACTTACCACACACCACACAGCAGGCACAAATTAAAATATATAAAATAAATAATTTCTGTTTATATTGAAGGAAAAACAAATTCTTACTACTTTAAAAATTACCTAACACTCCAATACATAAACATATTCATTTATAAATTGGTACAAGTGGACGGTGGTAAAAAATTTGATTTCATTAAAAAAATAAAGTTAATCTAGTTTATCGTGATAACGGCACCCTTATACTTCTCATCCCAAAACCGACGATCTTTATTTTATTGTTTCTCAGTCTGCGTTCTATGATCTAAATATACCCCAGGTGTGTCGCCGCCCGGAAGTGATACCTTCGGAGGCTCTGATTGGTCAGAAGTGTCTGTGACATAAGGGGGCGGGGCAATCGCCTGCTCATCCTCCCGAAGATTGACGCGAGACTGATATGGGGGTGGAGCCTAAAAACCAAAAGTTAATAATAAATAATTATAGTAACTGATAAATATAAATCCTTCTCAAATGAAGAGGAAGGGTGTTGTATTGAGAAATATATGACAATGCATTTTTTATTTATTTATCATAATTGATAGCACTTATTTATTTATTTTTTATTTATTATTAATATTATTATTTTATTTTATTTTATTTATCTTATTTATTTTATTATTATTATTATTATTATTATTTTTTTTTTTTTGCAGCAAGGTTTCTTTTCCTGATCTAAGGCCCCATTCAAATAGACACAACTCTGCAGGGTTTCTCGCTGAGTGCAATCAGCAAAACACATTAACACGCCTCCTACTGGCGTAAAGTAGAATCCCCAAAAGCTGGAGATCATACGAGTACGTTGGAAACAAGAGGAGTGTGTTTCAGATATGCTGACTGCATTTTAACGCAGAGCAGGGTCGATCTACAAAGACAGTTGGCGTGTCTATTGGAACGGGGTCATATAGGCTACAGGCAACAATTGTCAATTGTTAACCCATTAACAAACAGCACGTTTCAGATTAATGTACCATCTGGAGAAAACCACGGCCAGAGTCTTAAATTTTCGGATAGATGCATCTTCGTACTATCGAGATGTAACGTTCGGTAGTAGACCGACGCTCACTGTTCTTGCGGTGGATTTGAAGAAGAATTGTCAATGTTTCTGAAATACTTACCACAACTGTGAATATGTCCTGATGAGACCGGTCTGTCACTATTGGTGGCAACACACTTCTTCCATTAATGTCCTGTCTTGTCGCTTGCGTTTGATTAGCAGACGATCTGTTCCCCCCTGGTCTGCTAAGGGATGCCCCGTTATTTGGAGTGTAACGAACTGTGCCTCCTGCCATTTCCCGCCGAAGTTTCTTCTTTTGCTGGCGATGTACGACCTAATTTACAATATAGATATTTGTAACTAAATAACACATAGTTGGAGAAAGAATAATAAAATATTATCTTACTACTTACCATATTCTTTTTCAAAACGAATGTATGGCTTTCATGTTTATCAAGTCGACCTCGAATACAAAAAGAAGACCAACCTGTAGCACGAAGATAATGATCGCTATGAGAGCCAGAACGCCACCGATGATGAGGATAACCGTCCAGTAGGAAAGGGTTACAGTGCCAAAGCCGTTTTTGTTTGTTCCGCTTGGTGAGAGCGTTCCATCGTTATAGTCAATAGGACGGAAGTAAGCACGGCGAGTTGACTGTGAAGAAGACGAGGCTACAGTGGCCCTACTTGCTTGTCGTGGGGATGTAGTTGTGGCTGAAATAAAATTGATAGGGCAATATGAAAGCATTGGAAACAGCAGTTGGAATTTTGCAAGGCCTTGGTGTGCTATTTTCGTTGACACCCCTCCCCCTTAAAATGCGTTTGTAAATAAAAGTTTACGCCACATGACCTCGAATGATGTAACGCGTAGTGTGATTGTGACGACACATGAAAGATTGGGGAGGAAGCATTCCTTTCTTACATATATAAGTCTTTTTCTATCACCCTCATCCAGGGTCACTAGAACTAGAAACATTTCTCTGGGTATTCATTTGCTGTACAATTTTTGTACCGTGGGAATTTTGAACAAAATGACGTCATATCATGCACGTAACTGCCTCTGGTAGAGCGTTTATTTCTTCATGTAAACCAACCCCAGTTTGGTAATACAAACATTTAAGCTTCTTCACCTCGTGTACAATAAGGCACATTTAGAGTGTAAACGACAGACACACTGACATAATTGTTTAGTTTGGGTCGCATGCTTTCTTAACCCAACAAACACATTTATTAGGCTTAATTCGATCAATTGAAAAATAAGCATTGTGCCTTTCGCCCTCACGACACCCTCCGTTAAAAATAAGAAAAGATTTAAGACGAGGACAGTTCCGCAAATGTATCTTTAAAGTATGATCGAGTGTTCCTACCTGGGCCACACCTGGAGAGCGTCTCGTCCGAATTGTCTCCACACTGGTCATAGCCGTCACAGAGCCGACTGGTGAGGACACACTCCTTGTTACCGCACTGCCACTGGTAAGAACGGCTACAGCCTGAAATATTAAATATATAAATAGATAAATAAATGAAATAAGTAAATAAGCAAATAAATAAATACTAGTAGATATATTTAGGGTATCTAGCGCAGTCTGTTACAATGTTAAAGCAATTTTAACAGATTGCATGGTAGCGGCCCTCTGGACAAGGGGTATGGTTTCATTCTGTCTGGATGTTTTTTTTTCGACGGGAATTGTACTTACTTATAAACGGCGGTGTTTGTGTGTCTCCGGGTTCTGCAACAGAAAGAAAAAAGTGACTGAGATTCAGAAAGCTGTATTATGGTTATATCTATCTATCTATCTATCTATCTATCTATCTATCTATGTTTCTATCATTCCTCCCTCCCTCCCTCCCTCCATCCATGCAGAGTACATTGTCAAGTGCCGGAGACGTCATTCATAGTACGAACCCTTTATTATTTATATATTCTTCAGCCACCCCTTAAGCGCATTTATAACAAAGTTTTAACCTCTCCCCCAGGCTCCCACTTTGCCTTACCGCAATTGCTAAGATAATATGAAAGGCACTACTCACGCCCGGGGGTGGTTGTGTACGACATATTAAACCCATTCCCGGAGATGGAATGGTCACTTTTGAACTTTATTCCAAGCCATCGACTGGAGCTCGTCTTGACGGCGACAGGGGTCGCTGGATCATTGTTGTCATGAGCACAGTGATAGTAGAGCTGTCTTGTATTGCTGCACGGGCCATCACAGATCTGTTAATTAGATCAAAAAACCAATCAATTAATAAATCAATACAATTATTGGTTTTTCAAATTTTGCAATCAAATTATTCAATTTTTTGCAAAATAAATTGAACAAGAACAATTCATAAAACTACCGCGATACTTACTTGGACATAGTCCCTGCACCGTACTCGCCTTCCGTAAAATGTAGCTTCCAGTAAGACATAATTGACGGTCAGTCTAACCCTGTGCCCCAATGGAGCCTGCAGCAACCACACACAGTACTCCTCGTCGTCATAGCTCGCGCTCTCCCCGTGACCTGGTGACGTAATGGTCCCCTCTGGAGTCACGCTGAGGTCAAGGAAGCCCCCGCATGTACCCCAGGTAGAGGTGGTGGCAGCGAGTGGGACAGAAACGAGAACCAGTAAGGCGGCTGTGGTTAGACGTTTGACGGAGAACATGGCTGAATGTATGGGAACTACTGAAAATAAAATGAAAACGATGAAATTACTTTAATTGATATGTGGATTATTTCACAAGAAATGACACTCTGAGTACTCTCTCAGTGTGTATAATGACTGACATGGCTTTCTGCTTCATGGCTTTCCTGCAAGGCGCTTAAGTATCTTTAGAATTTACCATTTGCCTGAGTCGTGAATTGGCATACAGTTCATCTACCTATAGGCCTAGTTTTACCCATTTAAAAAGTGGAGAAAAGTTAGGGAGTAGATAACAGGCATGACCTCGGAGAGCATCCGAAGAAGAGCGATTGTGCGCATCTGATGAATCTGAAGCCACATGTAGAGATATAACAACGGGGAATTTATTTTATATCAAAGTTACCTCAATAACGCACCATAAAAACTGAATATAATGAGTTACTTCATCCACCCAGGAATAATTTATATGTTAAGCTCAGATTCGGTGACAGTAAGATAAAACGGTACAGCCAATGTAAAGCTTTGGATGTTCTGTTCTGTACAATGTCGTGTCACTGAGGCTGAATAACTGTCCGTAATCTAAACCTGCCTTGATACAATAAAAATCCCATATAATATAAATCAATAATTAAGACGTACACAACAGGTGAAGGACCGATATATGAAAAAAACAGACGGAAACTAAATATATATTTAATGGCTTAGATTTCTCTCGGACGATAACCTCATGGTCAAAAAGTTTTGGATTTACTGCTCTGGGGTTGATGTTGTCAAATCATGAGAAGTAAATGGATGACAACGCCGTCGACGGCATACCGGTTAATTTCAAATCCATCTGTTATGACAACAGGACCTACGTGTTCCATAGCTATGCGCATAATTGGCTAAATCATCGCAAATAACCATCGTTATAGTTGCCCATTTCCATCTCTAAGACATAAAAACGTCCCCAGAAATACTTCCTTGTAGCTTTGATATTAATCCATTTCATTTCAGCATTGTAATTAATTTTATTACTTAAGGACAATTACCACGCGTCTGCAACAAGTACGATATATCTTTAAAGACAATTTCAAGATCCTGTTAAAAGAGGGTTCCAAACTGGTTAAATCGTTGCGAGGTTAAAAGTTATTTCTTGACCGTGTCCTGATTCTCTGACAGCGTCCACGCAGGGGCTGCATGGGTTACTGGTTAATTCTGATGAATAAGTACTGTAAATTAAACTACTGTGCAGGAGACTGTAACGGTTCTATTATGTGCACCTTAAATATCATTACCATCACCGTCAATGATAATTATAATAATGAATTGATCCAAAAAAAAAAAATGGAAGGGTGGGTCTCGGCTTATCCACCAAATCTTTAAAATACTCAATGTATCTATTGATACAGTATGAAAAAGCAGATTTCTGTGTCATTTCTGTAAATCGGGCAAGGTAACCTTGGACAGGGCGCCATGCAGTACTTGTCCATGACTTCGAGACATCTGTATAGTTTCTCAGTTAATAAGATTCCGAAGACTTGCCCATGGCGAGATGGCATTGTTTGCTTCGTTATTGATCGACTATTGGCATATTGTATATATTTGACCAGGAAGTCTGACGATCTAATGCAGATTTTACCAGTAATGACACTATAGACACCTGCTATAACGTCGATCAAAATGAGTAACTTATACAACTGGAACCAAGTACTCATCATACCTTTATACGTAGACTCCCAAATTCATGTTCCTCTTGCTGTCTCTCCGTCCCAGTTTCTGCGCCCGTCTGCCGAATTCTCTGCAGTGAAAAATACCAGCAGTTACTTTGCATAACCCACAGTGTGTGAACAGGTAGACCTAACTAAACACCGAGTATTCATGTCACAATCACTCCCATTGTGTGTTCATCGATCGCGCTGCGGACTGAATTGCCTAGGTTCTTATTGACTATACGTGCTCCCAGTCCCTAAGCGGCGTACCACCAAACAATAAACACCGTTAAAGAATCATGCGTGCGCTGCAATGTATTGAAGTGTTGTAAAGCCTATGTAAATTGCATACATGAACATGTACAGGTACATAGGCAGATATAAGGAAAGTGTAAGGGTTGGGCTGAGCTTTGTTTTTCTAAAATATTTTACAGTGCAAACAGGGCGAAGGGACAGATGTAAAAGTGGGGCTAACCCTTTAGGGGGCATCCTTCGTGCCCTCTAGGGGTGTAATATAAAAAGTACGTGTACAGGCCCGTAGCCAGCAATTTCAGAGGGGGGGGGGGGGGTCGTTTACTGAAAAAGTGGACCTTTTACCATAAAATACTCAAGTACATAGATCAATTTTTACCCAGAGTGGACCTTTTCCCAGCAAAAAAGGTGGTACTTTCGAATCCCCCGAACCCCCTGGCTACGGGCCTGGTGTATATAAGTATAAATGAGAAAAAATATCCTCAAGCTTGGTAACTGAATTGTAGATAAAATTATTAAGCACACGCTGAAAATTTCCTTCCTACCGTGAACTTGCAGTCAACATGCACGTAGTTAGGCCTTCATCAGACTAACCTTTAAACGACAATTTTCAGGATGAACTTTAAAAACCTATAAACCTAGGACAACGACGGGGTGGAATGATATACGTACATGTATAATAAGTGAATGCCGATACGAGTATTCCTCTCGCTTCCACTTCCTCTTGTGCTAAGTAAGCAAATGTGGCCAGATTTGCTAACTGGTTAACTCATTTTCATTAGGTAAAATAGACAGCAAGAGTTCAACATCTGCAGATATTAAGCAAACATCTCAAGGTAGGACTTCCAATACATTTTTTTTTCAATTTTTGCACGTTTCGCTTCTTTCTTTGAAATTCTTTGAAATTTTCAATCATTTTTAAATGCAGTTCTTTCAAATTCCCTCGTGATTCAGAATGGCAGAATGCATAATGTTAAGGAACACTCATTACGATTTTGGCCACGTTTCTTATACATTGCGAGAAGAAATTTTTTACTAGTACCTCAATTATTGACCTTTATAATTGCCTCACTGACATGCATACATATATAAATACAGGTCAGTCACCCTGGTGGATGATGGCGAAACCCCTTCCACCAAAGGTTTTTTTTTTCTTTTAAAAGGATATCTCAAAACAGTTCACACGTTTTAAACCAATATTTCACAAAGATGTTTTTAAAACAATTTCTCGACCTATGCAAATAAGGAAAACGTGCCTCCAGTGAGAGGCACCCTGTTTAAAAGAATGATTTACTACACGGGGATTACTGCAATCAAATGGCTCTTTATTACTAACATTACGTGTGAAGTGTGACCATTTATTCCTTCAAATACATGATTTAGCTACACGTCTTTCTCTGATTAAGACCTAAGCAGTTACTGGGGTATGAGAGTCCGTCTCAAGGCCTGGGACAGTGAAAGTCGCCACAGCCGGGTGTATCCACATACATTTAAATGCCGGTGTAACGTGACAGAGAGTCCCCCATTACAGAGAGTCCGCTTCCCATTCATATGTACAGGTGAGCCTCCCCTTAGATTTTGACCCACATAGGTCAGGCTAACCCTAACCATTATAACTATATGGAGGGCGGACTTTCTGTTACACGGACCCTCAGTTTCGTTACACCGGTAGTGAAAGAGAACACCATTACTTTTATGCGCAGCTGCAACACGGTTGAAATCAGGTATATTAGGTGATCATTAAAAACTAAATCTAAGGTCTAGAATATCAGAACAAGCAACACTTCAATATTAGCGATACTGTAAATGGCAAGTATTACAGGGATCATAGACCCCATTCCCATAGATTTTAGATCGATCTATCCCTGTGGGGAGTCTCACTAGATTACTGTCAGCTTAGCCGGCTTAAGCGTCTGTCCCGCCTACTAAAAGCTGTAAGGGGGTTATTAACTATGGTGCCCGCTCGACTGACTGCAATTTAGCGTGAACCCCGAGGGAGTTAGGTCGACCTAAATCTTATATCTCTGGATCGATCTAAATCTCTGGGAATGCACCCTATAGAAATGGTAAGCGTTCAACTCCCTGGCAAACACAGAACGTTTTAAAACGTTACCATATCGTTACCAAAGTGTTTTTTCTTTGTTAAATGAACGTTATTGTAACGTTATAATATTGCGTGCTGTGTTAGCTGGGTGTCAAGTTAAAAAGGGGTCTCGGGTGTCTATTTTGGTACAGTTTGTAGGGTTGCAAGTAAAAGGTGTTTTGTTTGGTATGGTGGATCCAGTTACAGTGGGGATGGACTTACCTACAGGGAGCAACGTATGCTGAATCTATTGCGGCTGTTCCGGGGGATTTGATTTCATCCAGAAAAAATTAATTTTATATTTCTGTACCGAATAGGATTTGCATAGGATTTACCTGCATACTTTAACTTTTATAAAATGTTTTGGTTGATACCATTTAGCATACAATATACTAGTACAGAAAAAATTAACGTTTGCTTCTGCCTGGTTTCTACAAGGACAAATATATTTTGCGATTAGATTAGGCATCATGTGTCACAAGTACACACAAATGAATGACGTACACACATACAACCGGTCAGGGGATCTTGCCGGTGTGACAGGAATGGTAGTCCTAGGAATGGAAGTCCGGGGTCCCATATGATAAGTACAGGTTAGGGTTAATTGGAGAATTGGGCTTAGTATATAGGTCGAATGCCACCTATGCAAAGTAATGGGGCCTGCGATTCCTAGCGGACTACGGTACCATTCCTTGCACACCGGCATCAGAATAATTGCGCTAGTTGGTGTTATCTAAAACAGTAATGACATGTATTCGTCCACAGACTCTCTCCCATCGTTTAACAGAAATGCATTATAATTTGTCTGCACAGATAGACGCCGTGTCTAACCATGTTAAAAACAACCCGTATATTAGCTGCATGCGTTCCCATAAACGTGATTGGCGTGATACATGTAAACATAGTCATCAGGTCAAAATTACATAAAACAAACAGGCGTCAAGTCACACACCGCAAACAGACTCGAGGTCCTTTTGTTAATGTATCGCCTCAAGCGATTACATCTTGCAATCTTATTTGAGAAAAGTCCCAGACGTGATTTTATATGTAGATGCATGTTCACTGTTTTCTACCAGTATAACGGCTTGATATAGGTACTGGTATGTTACGTGTATGCTACGGTCTGGTAAGTAGGTCTAAGATAAAGCCTAATGTCTACCTGATAGGACTGCAACAATGGGGCTGCGCAAACGTTCAGTGACCTTGTTATTGCGTACCGGTATTTGGTATATTTATTTGGACTAGTGTCGGTCAATGACACACAGGTATAGGTTAGTCGTGAAGGACACGCGTCGAGATTCTGACTCGGAAGAACGTCCCCTGTGAACGTTTTGCAGATCACGTGTTACAGGTAATGACTTGTTATAGTTTGTCGTACATGTATAGACTCATTAGTAATATATGGAGAACATATATGAATGTGACGTTAGTACCTGGAATATTGGTACCCTCTACCGGGGCGACAGATTGATTTTCCACAGATATTCATAGATATGTCTCTAGATAAATAGACGGTCATTTTGGTCTGTTGTCAACAGAGAGGGAATATTGGTGTCAGTTTATTCCCCCACATATAAAGGAGAACACCAGGCCCGCAGCCAGGGGGGTTCGGAGGATTCGGAATCGCCCTTTTTGCTGGGAAAAGGTCCAAGTTGGATAAAATTTGATCTAGGTACAAGAAGGTTTTATGGTAAAAGGTCCACTTTTTCAGAAAACGAACCACCCATTTGAAATTGCTGGCTACGGGCCTGAACACTGTGTGGCGGATTCAGAGTAATTTTCTGGCAGTCTTCCAAATTATCTTTATTGATCAGTTCTTCATTTTTGACCGTCTTCCGACACAAAAATTTAGATACCCGCCAATGTAAACTTAAAAATCTGAACGTTACTTCCGGAAAGTTACGTGAAAAGTTACAAGAGTTTGTAAGTCCACGACTTTCAAGAGTTTTGAGAATACCGTGTAAGTCCAAGATACAAATTCACGTAAATAGTTACAAATTGTTGTAAGTTACAAAGTTTTGAGAATACGGCCCCTGACCGTCTTCCGGAAGACCCAGAAGACGGCCTAAATCCGCCCCTGACACAATAATACAGTACAAGCAAGCAGCCACCATGATCTTACATGTTAAACCAAACACCTTTGATATGAAAATATGAAAAGGCCTTAAACTATAGTTAGATATCGTATAACACTTAACGTGGATTGCGGCATTAGTTATTTATTGCGTACGCCGGTCTGAATGTAAAACGTACATGAGCCTACCAGGTACCAGTAGGGCCTACATTATACCCAGCATACACCAACTTAATTCGTGCATGACTTACCGGTACAAGTATTTATTACATAAACCTGTAGTGAATGTAACGGGAGAACCGGTGTGACAGAAATGGTAACCCTAGGAGAGGAATTCCGGGCTCCCGTATGATAAGTGCGGGTTAGGGTTGGTCGGAATATTGGGGTTAGTATAAAGGACGAATGTCACCTGTACAAAGTAATGAGAGACGGACTACGGTTCCTAGCGGACTTCCATTCCTGTTAAAGGAGAAGGGTCATTATTTGGCTTTTATAACTTAGACCCCATTCCTATGGACACCATCGGTCTGCGTGGATCGATCCAACTCTGCAGGGACTCTCGCTGATTGCGTAAATGCCAGGTACAGAAATGCTGTTGACTACGAGTACGTTGGAAACAAGAGGAGGCGTGTCATGCAGTTAAGCTGATTGCACTCAGCGAAAGTTACCACAGAGTTGGGTCGATCCACGTAGACCGATGGAGCTTATAGGAATGGTGCCTTTAGCAGGTTTGAATAAACTATGAATGTACTGTATTCTCTCTGCTATGTTCAATATGACTTGACCACAGTATGGGAAAAACAAGAGTCACGCCTTGATAATTATACATTTTGTATATCGCTAACAGAGGGCGACTCAACCGGCTTGTAATGAGAGCATCACACGACTGCATTTGTATTTCGCTTACAAATTGTGCACTGGGCCGATGGACTGTCCTTAACCACGCTTCAGTGCGTTACGGGCTTATTATATGTGCACTTGTCCTTTTGTTCGAAGTACTTGCACCTGTTTTACATCACATAAATCTTATTATCTATTCATTATTTCCATTCATTCATTAGTCTGAATACCAACCTAAATGTTAAAATCGAATTTTGTTTTTCTGTGTAACCAGCGCATTGAAGTAAGATATTTTTGCTGTTGTTATTGTTGTTTTTATCCAATTATTCATCTCCTATTAAATGATAAGGTTTAATTGTGGCATAAATACAAGTGCACGTACGTGTACAACCTCACCTGCCGCTGTGGTGAGGGATTGACATTTCTCATAAGTTTGTTATTGCAGCACATGTAGGTTATAATGACCTGTGTAAATCCTTTAGTCCTGTACAGAGAAAAGAAAAGGCGCCCTGCATTCTAGGTTTCAAAAGACAGTACTCTATACTAAGGGTACACCATGACTCTGTTGGTACTGACCCGCCACCTGTATTATGTACCAGGTAATAGCGCTGTCAGTCATGTTCAGTATTGAGAAGAATATACAGAATTGCCTGACATAAACTATATTAAAAACTTTATTATTGTAATTTTCATTCGTGTGAACAAATAAGAACTAACCAGCATGAATTTTCATATATCTTTTATACAATTTCAGTCCACAATGATCCGAATTCTGCTATCTTTGCTGATTATTTGCGTCGCTGGAAAAATCGAGGCCGCATACCACGTGTTGGACATGACGTACCCCCTGGGGCCAAACACGACATATTGGCCGGGAACCCCGAAATTCCACTTTTCTATCGATTTCAGGAATTTTTCGGCGACTACTGGATGGTAAGTACACGTGTTAATTGAGAGAGAGAGAGAGAGAGAGGGCCGGGTGATGGAGGGACAGGAGAGCTTTCTATTATGTAAAAATAATAAAGCTATACAAGTAATACGTTGTGTGTACTAGTACTGTTGTAGTGACCTTCCACTGTACGTATTCAACACAAAGTTATAAGTGTCTGTTCTACTATCCAGGCATGAGGGACAGATATCATGAAAAGGAGTGAGGGAGTGAGGAAGGGAGTGACTGAAGCGTTTCCAACATGTAAACTAGTAAGGATATACAAGTAACGAACTGTGTGTCCTGCTTTACTGCCCTTAATATATCCATCACAAAATTACCAGTGTCTGTTCTATTATCCAGGTATGAGGGGAACAGTTTCTGTGCTGCCACCAATGGAGGGACCAGTTTGGAAGCCCCGTCTTTCCTGATACAAGGGGGCACCACTGCCGATAACATTCCAGTTCACAAGCTGATTGGTCCAGCCGTCAAAATTGACATAGCGTCAAAAGCAGCCACTTACCCGGATGTGCAACTGACGGTGGAAGATATTGAGAACTGGGAAACCGCAAATGGACGAGTTCCCGATAATTCCATCCTATTCGTCTACACAGGTTGGGGCCAGTATGTCGACAACCGGACTGCTTTCTTTGGACACCCCAGCACAACAGAATGGCTAGACCCTCAAGGGAGGTCTTTGCTGCATTTCCCTGGCATTTCTCCCGCCGCAGCGTCGTGGTTGGCCACCAACCGAAAACTTTTGGGGGTAGGGATAGACACACCATCTTTAGATTACGGCCAGAGCGTCGACAAGGCTGCAAGTGTCGCCCTCTACAGTGAAGGCATTTACGGACTGACGACCGTGGCAAATCTTGACAAACTTCCCACCAAAGGGGCGACGGTACTGGCATTTCCAGTCACCATCCGGGGGAGTAGTGGTGGTCCCGTCAGGATCGTGGCCTTGCTAAGGAAGACTCTGGAGGTGAAGGAGAGCGATGTTATTGACATGACGTACGTGTACAGTGTTGATACCACGTACTGGCCTGGGGCCGGCAGTTTTAACATCACGTCCGTCGTTAAGGGTCCGTCTGGGAATATTACCTGGTAGGTTTAGATGTAGAAAAAGACGCGACGTCTGATTAATTATTCAAAATTAGCCGGTATGTTAGCGATAAAAGTTTTTCTTGCATCTCAGTCATTTCGAAATTATGGTTTTCATAAATATTTCTCTCCTTACAGTGAACCTTTAGTTTTTGTAACGAGTGCTGAAAGAAACGACTATTACTATCATTTGTATAGTAGCTCTCTCCAGGACTGTCTTGTATTTTTAAGAAAGGGGGAGAATCATCTCCTGTTGTGATTTTACAAAAATGTTTGATTTTTTCTCCACACAGTTGCGTTTATATAATACATCTCCATTATGTTGCACAAGAATTGATCATAACGTCGTCCTTGTACTCCAGGTTAGACAGAGGCTATTTCTGTACTCCCGAACACGGCGGCAGCCATTTTGACTTCCCAGCACACGTTTCGAGGTGGATACCGCTCTCACGATGTTTCAGTCGAGAAAGTCATCGGACCAGCGGTCAAGGTGGACATACAAGGTAAAGCCAACCAAGATCGTGACGCCCTTCTGTCTGTGGATGACCTTGAGAAGTGGGAAACAGTCAATGGGAGAATCCCAGACAACGCCATCGTGTTTGTTCAAACCGGATGGGGGAGATACTACGGAAACAGAACGGCGTATCTTGGCTCAAGCAACACTCAGGTATGGACCGATTCCGCCGGGAAATCTCAACTTCATTTCCCTGGTATCTCCGAGGAGGCTGCCAATTGGCTGAAAGACAGTAGAAAGATTTCCGGGGTGGGGATAGACACTGCGTCACTCGATCGCGGGCAAACTGTGAACTTTGAAAGCCACGTGGCCTTCTTCAGTGTGAATATCTATGGCGTGGAAAACGTTGGCTATTTAGACAAATTGCCGACGACTGGGACAACTGCGTACATCTTGCCCATGTACCTGTTTGATGGAAGCGGTGGCCCTGCGCGGATCGTCGCCATTAAAGAAAAAGAGGGAAAGGATACTAGTGGAGTTTCCGTCACTAGATCATCTAGTTTCGTTTTGATAGTTACGATTTCCCTTCATTGTCTTGTTGACTTCTTCTAAACTGCAAGAACGTGAAGTATCCTGGATTGAAACGTGTGGTAATGTAGTAAGTCTAGGTTTTTCTACGGTTTCTAAAACAGGTGCGTGTACATGAAAAATTAAGACTGACTTATTAAAGATGGACAACTTTATTTTCCTAATATATCTGGTAAATCTTGCATTGAACTCATACATACATACATAGTGTAAACTGAACATTTTTTTCTCAATAAAAAAGTATTGTATATCCGAACCGAATTCTTCTCATTTGTTACACTATATTTACCGACTTCTACCGTATGTAAGCAAAAAGTCAAGACGCAAATTACATAATTGGCGTGCTCTTGCCACCGTTGGCGTCAGGGAACAAACCCAAGCCCGTGCGACCAACTAAAGAACATCGGTTGTCACCTTGACCCCCGTTGCACTGATCTTCACACCTATCGCAATCCCTACACATATTATCAAAGGATCATGGGCACTCAAAATGTTCGCCGTTCTGAAATAAAAAAAGCGGTTATCGTACTTATATACCTGTCTCCGGGAGACCACCGGGATGTCACCCGGCTGTTAAAAAGAGAGCATTCAAAACATGTTGATCTGCAGGCTTACGTTTCCAAGGATCAAATATGGCCGGCCCACTTAAAAGTTAGCCTCTCATAATCCCCCTGATAGTCTCCCGGCCTCCATACCTGCCGTACCCTGAAGGGCCTAGCAATAAAACCTCGGGACCGAAATTTATTTCGTTTCATGGCGCGTGTAGAGGCGGCGAGACCATCAGGAGGTTAAGAGGCTTTTTTTTTTTGTCATATTTAGTCCGCAGATCAGTAAGTCCGCAGGTCATCTGTTCTGATGGTTCACTCGTATCTGTTTCCGTACCCCAGTTCACTTTGTGGAGCTAGCAGCGGGCTACCGAGTTACAATTGTTTCAACAGCCCTACCGTCTTCGAAGAACATGGGAGGCGATTTTTAACATAAGGTTTCTTTTGTTGGTCTTAATCCAGCATTTTGCCCTTTTAAACAGGGGGCAAGGGATTAAGTTGCCATTTTGCTCTCTCTCTCTCTCTNCTGAGTCGAATAATACAGTACAAGCAAGCAGCCACCATGATCTTACAGGTTAAACCAAACACCTTTGATATGAACATATGAAAAGGCCTCTAAAGATAGTTTGATATCGTATAACACTTAACGTGGATTGCGGCATTAGTTATTTATTGCGTACGCCGGTCTGAATGTAAAACGTACGTGAGCCTAGCAGGTACCAGTAGGGCCTACATTATACCCAGCATACACCAACTTAATTCGTGCATGACTTACCGGTACAAGTATTTATTACATAAACCTGTAGTGAATGTAACGGGAGAACCGGTGTGACAGAAATGGTAACCCTAGGAGAGGAATTCCGGGCTCCCGTATGATAAGTGCGGGTTAGGGTTGGTCGGAATATTGGGGTTAGTATAAAGGACGAATGTCACCTGTACAAAGTAATGAGAGACGGACTACGGTTCCTAGCGGACTTCCATTCCTGTTAAAGGAGAAGGGTCATTATTTGGCTTTTATAACTTAGACCCCATTCCCATGGACACCATCGGTCTGCGTGGATCGATCCAACTCTGCAGGGACTCTCGCTGATTGCGTAAATGCCAGGTACAGAAATGCTGTTGACTACGAGTACGTTGGAAACAAGAGGAGGCGTGTCATGCAGTTAAGCTGATTGCACTCAGCGAAAGTTACCACAGAGTTGGGTCGATCCACGTAGACCGATGGAGCTTATAGGAATGGTGCCTTTAGCAGGTTTGAATAAACTATGAATGTACTGTATTCTCTCTGCTATATTCAATATGACTTGACCACAGTATGGGAAAAACAAGAGTCACGCCTTGATAATTATACATTTTGTATATCGCTAACAGAGGGCGACTCAACCGGCTTGTAATGAGAGCATCACACGACTGCATTTGTATTTCGCTTACAAATTGTGCACTGGGCCGATGGACTGTCCTTAACCACGCTTCAGTGCGTTACGGGCTTATTATATGTGCACTTGTCCTTTTGTTCGAAGTACTTGCACCTGTTTTACATCACATAAATCTTATTATCTATTCATTATTTTCATTCATTCATTAGTCTGAATACCAACCTAAATGTTAAAATCGAATTTTGTTTTTCTGTGTAACCAGCGCATTGAAGTAAGATATTTTTGCTGTTGTTATTGTTGTTTTTATCCAATTATTCATCTCCTATTAAATGATAAGGTTTAATTGTGGCATAAATACAAGTGCACGTACGTGTACAACCTCACCTGCCGCTGTGGTGAGGGATTGACATTTCTCATAAGTTTGTTATTGCAGCACATGTAGGTTATAATGACCTGTGTAAATCCTTTAGTCCTGTACAGAGAAAAGAAAAGGCGCCCTGCATTCTAGGTTTCAAAAGACAGTACTCTATACTAAGGGTACACCATGACTCTGTTGGTACTGACCCGCCACCTGTATTATGTACCCGGTAATAGCGCTGTCAGTCATGTTCAGTATTGAGAAGAATATACAGAATTGCCTGACATAAACTATATTAAAAACTTTATTATTGTGATTTCTGTTCGTATGAACAAATGAGATCTAACCATGCAGTATGAACTTTCATATATTTTTTATACAATTTCAGTTCACAATGATCCGAATTCTGCTATCTTTGCTGATTATTGGCCTCGCTGGAAAAATCGAGGCCGCAGACCACGTGTTGGACATGACGTACCCCCTGGGGCCAAACACGACATATTGGCCGGGCACACCGAAATTCCACTTCTCTATAGACTTCAGGAACTTTTCGGCGACTACTGGATGGTAAGTACACGTGTTAATTAAGAGAGAGAGAGAGAGAGAGAGAGAGAGAGAGAGAGAGGGGGGGGGGAGGAGGGAGATTCTCCCAACATGTAAAATAATGAAGATATACAAGTAATACTTAGTATGAACTGTTGTACTGACCTTCATTGTATGTATTCATCACAAATTATCAGTGTCTGTTATATAATCCAGGTATGAAGGAGAGAGAGAGAGAGAGGAAAGAAGGAAGGGAGAAAGGGAGGGAGTGAAGCGTTTTCCAACATGTAAAACTAATAAGGATATACAAGTAATAAATTGTGTGTCCTGCTTAACTACAGGTACATCCTACGTATCCATCACAAAATTATCAGTGTCTGTTCTATTATCCAGGTATGAGGGGAACAGTTTCTGTGCTGCCACCAATGGAGGAACCAGTTTGGAAGCCCCGTCTTTCCTGATACAAGGGGGCACCACCGCCGATAACATTCCAGTTCACAAGCTGATTGGTCCAGCCGTCAAAATTGACATAGCGTCAAAAGCAGCCACTGACCCGGATGTGCAGCTGACGGTGGAAGATATTGAGAACTGGGAAATCGCAAATGGACGAGTTCCCGATAATTCCATCCTATTCGTCTACACAGGCTGGGGCCAGTATGTCGACAACCGGACTGCTTTCTTTGGACACCCCAGCACAACAGAATGGCTGGACCCTCAGGGGAGGTCTTTGCTACATTTTCCTGGCATTTCTCCCGCCGCAACGTCGTGGTTGGCCTCCAACCGAAAACTTTTGGGGATAGGGATAGACACTCCATCTTTAGATTACGGCCAGAGCGTCGACAAGGCTGCAAGTGTCGCCCTCTACAGTAAAGGCATTTACGGACTGACCACCGTGGCAAATCTTGACAAACTTCCCACCAAAGGGGCGACGGTACTGGCATTTCCAGTCACCATCCGGGGGAGTAGTGGTGGTCCCGTCAGGATCGTGGCCTTGCTAAGGAAGACTCTGGAGGTGAAGGAGAGCGATGTTATTGACATGACGTACGTGTACAGTGTTGATACCACGTACTGGCCTGGGGCCGGCAGTTTTAACATCACGTCCGTCGTTAAGGGTCCGTCTGGGAATATTACCTGGTAGGTGTAGATGTAGAAAAAGACGCGACGTCTGATTAATTATTCAAAATTAGCCGGTATGTTAGCGATAAAAGTTTTTCTTGCATCTCAGTCATTTGGAAATTATGGTTTTCATAAATATTTCTCTCCTTACAGTGAACCTTTAGAGTTTTTGTAACGAGTGTTGAGAGAAACGACTATTACTATCATTTATATAGTAGCTCTCTCCAGGACTGTCTTGTATTTTTAAGAAAGGGGGAGAATCATCTCCTGTTGTGATTTTACAAAAATGTTTGATTTTTTCTCCACACAGTTGCGTTTGTATAATACATCTCCATTATGTTGCACAAGAATTGATCATAACGTCGTCCTTGTACTCCAGGTTAGACAAAGGCTATTTCTGTACTCCCGAACACGGCGGCAGCCATTTTGACTTCCCAGCACACATGTTTCGAGGTGGATATCGCTCTCACGATGTTTCAGTCGAGAAAGTCATCGGACCAGCGGTCAAGGTGGACATTCAAGGTAAAGCCAATCAAGATCGTGACGCCCTCCTGTCTGTGGATGACCTTGAGAAGTGGGAAACAGTTAATGGGAAAATTCCAGACAACGCCATCGTGTTTGTTCAAACCGGATGGGGGAGATACTACGGAAACAGAACGGCGTATCTTGGCTCAAGCGATACTCAGGTATGGACCGACTCCGCCGGAAAGTCTCAACTTCATTTCCCTGGCATCTCCGAGGAGGCTGCCAATTGGCTGAAAGACAATAGGAAGATTTCCGGGGTGGGGATAGATACTGCGTCACTCGATCGCGGGCAAACTGTGAACTTTGAAAGCCACGTGGCCTTCTTCAGTGTGAATATCTATGGAGTGGAAAACGTTGGCTATTTAGACAAATTGCCGACGACTGGGACAACTGCGTACATCTTGCCAATGTACCTGTTTGATGGAAGCGGTGGCCCTGCGCGGATCGTCGCCATTAAAGAAAAAGAGGGAAAGGATACTAGTGGAGTTTCCGTCACTAGTTCATCTAGTTTCGTTTTGATAATTACGATTTCCCTTCATTGTCTTGCTGACTTCTTTTAAACTGCAAGAATGTGAAGTATCCTGGATTGAAACGTGTGGTAATGTAGTAAGTCTAGGTTTTTCTACGGTTTCTAAAACAGGTGCGTGTACATGAAAAATTAAGACTGACTTATTTAAGATGGACAACTTTATTTTCCTTATATATCTGGTAAATCTTGCATTGGACTCATACATACATAGTGTAAACTGAACATTTTTTCTCAATAAAAAGGTCTTGTTTATCCGAACCGAATTCTTCTCATTTATTAAACTATATTTACCGACTTCTACCGTATGTAGGCAAAAAACAAACCCAAGCCCGTGCGACCAACTAAAAAGAACATCGGTTGTCACTTGACGTCCGTTGCACTGATCTTCACACCTATCGCAATCCCTACACTTATATTATCAAAGGATCATGGGCACTCAAAATGTTCACCGTTTTGAAACAAAAAAAAAGCGGTTATCGTACTTCTATACCTGTCTCCGGGAGACCACCGGAATGTCACCCGGCTGTTAAACAGAGCGCATTCAAAACATGTTGATCTGCAGACTTACGTTTCCAAGGATCAAATATGGCCTGCCCACTTAAAAGGTAGCCTCTCATAATCCCCCTGATAGTCTCCCGGCCTCCATACCTGCCGTCCCCTGAAGGGCCTAGCAATAAAACCTCGGGACCGAAATTTATTTCGTTTCATGGCGCGTGTAGAGGCGGCGAGACCATAAGGAGGTTAAGAGGCTTCTTTTTTTTGTCATATTTAGTCCGCAGATCAGTAAGTCCGCAGGTCATCTGTTCTGAATATTCTCATAGTGCCAGTCACTCGTATCTGTTTCCGTACCCCAGTTCACTTTGTGGAGCTATAATAGCAGCCGGCTACCGAGTTACAATTGTTTCAACAGCCCTACCGTCTTCGAAGAACATGGGAGGCGATTTTAAACATAAGCTTTCTTTAATTGGTCTTAATCCAGCATTTTGCCCTTTTAAACAGGGGGCAAGGGATTAAGTTGCCATTTTGCTCTCACTCTCTCTCANGTGGAGCTATAATAGCAGCCGGCTACCGAGTTACAATTGTTTCAACAGCCCTACCGTCTTCGAAGAACATGGGAGGCGATTTTAAACATAAGCTTTCTTTAATTGGTCTTAATCCAGCATTTTGCCCTTTTAAACAGGGGGCAAGGGATTAAGTTGCCATTTTGCTCTCTCTCTCTCTCTCTCTCTCTCTCTCTCTCTCTCTCTCAGTGCACATACCGTACAACAATAATAAACAACATTTATAAAAACAAAAACATAAAAAAGGAAAATGACCAAAATCCCAACTTAAAACTCTACGCTGGACCACTGGACCACTGACACTGCATTTTATACACTACGACATATTTTATAACGTGTATAAGACGAACCGATTATTATAAAAATAGATGACAGAACGGACTCCGTGTCAGGAGACCCGTCACGACGTGTGTGTGTTATGATATATTGTATGGACTTTGCTGCTGTCCTTTATCCGCGTGACTACCTGGTGACTTCTATCAGACTTTTATGGGCACATCTTAACCAAGGTATGTTAAAAATTCGCTTAATATCGGTTTATATTCGGGTCTATTAGTAAATGCGATAATAGTACGGTTCTATATAAATTGGTAAAACAAATCTACAGCAATGATCTTGATTTTGCGTTCTTCCGTGTTCAAGAGTGTTACATGTATGTGTGCGTGTGTGTGTGTGTGTGTGTGTGTGTGTGTGTGTGTGTGTGTGTGTGTGATGTGCGTGCCAGTGTGTGTTTGTATTTGTATATGATGATTTGTGTGTAAACATTTGCGTTTGTGTTTATGATTGCTATGTGTAATTTTGTTTGCGTGTGTGAATACCAGCCATCAAATGTTAATATATAGTTTGGTAGTTGTGTTGCTGTTTCTATTGTGATAATTTAGGTCTACGTGAGTTTTTTATCTTACCTTATCAACAGTCAACAGCACATTCTTCCTTGTTTATTAACTGAAAATGGTACTTTAAGCTAAAAGCAGATAAGTATTGGCCTAGATACTTTGCGTCATGTCAGCGAGCATCCACAGGTACCTAGCCGCGGAAAAAAGTACCAAACGACAGTAATCTCTTTCCATCGGCGTCTGCTGAACACACAAACCATTTACTTCATTGAAGGTGAATACATGTACAAAGCGAGGGGGGCATGTCCATGGCCGCATTCAGAACAATGGACTAACTGGTCCGAGGGCCAAATATGGCGACCCAACACAAAGCTTGTCGTCTAATCCGCTAATAGACACTGAATAGATTCCCCGTGGGGAATTATTCAAGTGGGTCGGCCATATTTGACACTCGGACCAGTTAGTCAACTGTTCTGAAAGCGGTCTATTTCTTACCACTTTTTCTGATAGATGATGTTTCAAATAGCATAACTTAAAGATATACCACAGAATTTCATTTTATTACCCCCATCCCTCCCGAGATAATAATATTTGAACATATATTTTCTGCTTACTTTCTGTGGTATATTTAACCCTCGGTCGTTTTCACCAACTCTCACTTGATTAATTATGCAACTTCACGAGCAGCAGTAATGCACCATACATTACGTATACATTACTACGTCACTTGGTGGACTTTAAAGAACTGGAGGGGCAGAAAAGTAGGTCAGATTTACAACCAGAAGAAAGTGCAATTTTAAACCTTTTTTCGGCTGATCGAACGCTTAATTTGGTTTATTCGCTGATAAGTGGTCTCTATTTTGTATGTGTGAGAATCATGTGACACTAGAAATTTATATACGAGTACCTAACATCAGTTTGTATGTATTATAAAGTTATTCTTGAAAGAGATAAGCGAAAACTATGCTTAAGGTAATATACGTCAGGTGATCAAGAGACCCTTCGTAGCCTGAATCATACCAGCATGTCCATCATATTTACTCAGTGCAGTTCAGACCACTGTTAAGTTCCTATTAAGTTTTGTCGGGACGGTGGGCATCTCGGTTTGACGTGCTATTTATCTGCTGATAATCTGTATCGATAAAAAACCGGAACCTATGCCGATCCGGTCACCTTAAGACTAACGCTACTTGTACAGTACGACACTGGACGCCATTTTAAAGGGATATATGCAGTGACAGAAGTGAAACAAAAGCTGTCAAAAACATGATAATTCCGATAAAATATCAAGGTTTATTTGTAGGTGAATTCAGCCGTGAAAAAGGGACTCCTTAAATCATGTCGACGGCACCCACAGAATTGGACCGGCTCTTGCCGCCGGCTTACTCCCCAATGGATCCAGGCAGGTATGTTACACTTGAGGGAATGTGTGTGTGTGTGTGTGTGTGTGTGTGTGTGTGTGTGTGTATGTGTGTGTTGGTAATTGTGCGTGCTAAATGGCATGTTTGCCCACTCAGGTCTGCTACACCTGAGGAATTGGTTCGTGCATGCTTGCGTGTGTGTCAAGACTCTATAGTCTTCATTTTTCTCATTAGGTGACCGGCATGGGTAAAAAAAGTCGTTTTTTTCATTGGGCATTTTGGTATTATTTCTAGAACAGCCTTATGCACCAGGGAAATTAATGATATTTTATATTGGAATCCATCCAATGATCTCCAAATAATTATTAAAAAATGTAGAACCTAACGTGTTTTCAAACCACTACTATTAATTACGTCTCTTGTTTTACGATTTCAGTCACCACGGCCGCACGAACCATTTCTATAAAGAAAAAACGCTGAGATATATCGGCGTCCTGCATATAGTCGTGGGAGTGTTGTGTTTTGTCCTAGGCGTCTGTTTTGTCATTGATCTACCGGCGTTCTTCCAAACCAACCATACTCCATCTCCTTGGCCAGACACATTTGAGCCATACAGTACGTACAATGCAAGAAACTGGATTGGAGTGATTGCCGGATCTTTGGTAATATGGCAGCTTTGGCCATTTTAACACTTAGTGTTCGGGATTGTTTTGATAACCTTATTTTCCCTTTTTTCTGTTTAATATTCCGTCTTTTGGTCATGTTTATTAATCTTAAGAATCATTTTTTTTCAAAGGATATATATATATATATATATATATAGTTGTCTGTCATTTCAGTTCATCATGACCGGAATCTTTGGCGTAATAGCCGGAGGAAGAAATACATGTTTGGTATGTCGACAGTTACAATACAATTTGTTTCTTTTTTTTAACAAGGAAGCAAGAAAACTAGATATATATATATATATATATATATATATATATATATATATATATATATATGATAAACGCTTTAAACTCCAACGTTAACTCAAGTCCTTTTCTGCTTATTGGAGATTGCCTATCACATTTCATGTGCCTGTAGCATAGTTGTACATCAGGCTCATAGCCAGCAATTTCAAAGGAGGGGGGGTCTTTTTCTGAAAATAAAGTCGACCTTTTTACCGCGAAACCTACAGTACATTTGCTTTATTTTTATGTTTTCATAAAAGACAAATATACACAACAATTGGCAGACTTAAAATCATGTTTAGTTTATCGAAAAGTGGTAAAAATTACAACCCTTGACTGGAAGGGGGTGACAGAGAAAAAGTGATGGTAAACCTCAGGATGATAGCTATGAGCCAGTCTACAGAATTAAATATTGCAAATCTCCTCGGAGTCCACAGCGCTAACCTGAAAGTGTAACAGCTGGCTCCTCAATCGTAAGCGATCAAAAGTTACCTAGTCTTTGTTTATAATTAAAACAAGACATCCACTTTTACAAGCCGGACCCCCTAAGTTGACCCAAACTGAGAAATGTAATAGAAGCTAGATCAAATTTTGGTACAGAGCGGACCTTTTCCCTGAGAAAAGGGCGATTCGTTAGAACTCCCCGAACTTCCCCCCCCCCCCCGGCTCCGGGCCTTGACATTCATATATTTTATTGAATTTTTCAAAATTACTATGTTTAATGTAAAATACTGTGTGTGTCTTAAACACACACACACACACACACACACACACACACACACACTGAGGTAATAGTAAACGCATAAGCCGTTGGTTACAGATTGGTTTCTACATGACTGCATCAGTTGCTTCTACCTTGGTCGCCTTTGGCCTGTTATTGATCCCCTCGCTGGATGACCTGAGCAACGTCGGCGGAGCTTTCGAGGATGATGCAGAATATGCTCAGCTGCAGGTATGTTCTTTTGCCCTCTCTCTCTCTCTCTCTCTCTCTCTCTTTCTCTCTCTCTCTCTCTCTCAGACACACTCACTCCTACACACATGCGCGCATTTAATGGTTGGTTGGTTACGTAATTATCAGCTTAAACTATCAAATAAATATCTATCCCCATTTACGACTGATAATCTGTGTCTGAAAGATGATATGCTTTTCGATAGGAGTGAACAGTACGAATGCATAGTTTATTTAGAATCATATTTGAGAAAATAAAAAGGTGAAAGGGTCCTGTGCGATGGGAATATTAGGCCGAGGATGAAATAAGAGCAACATTCTACTTTTAGGCGTGGACAGTGCTGATATGTATGTGCGTTATCATGGTTTCACTCGCCGTACTCGAGGGAATGTTGTCACTGGCATCTCTCATACTCTGTGCCTTAAGCGTGTGTCGTTGTTGTAAAAAGGTTAGTACTGGCGAATCTTGACGTTAGGCCACTTTTGAATACCAACAATCCTATGACCTTGTCTACGGGAGCATTCACACAGAGGAGAGACGGGGTCTAATAAGGCCTCGACCTAAATATATGACGGACCTACATAAAGAGGGAAACCGCTTAATCCATTAATGGTCTCTCCGCCTTTCACACGGCTACCCACGCGTCGTCCCTCGACCGGTTGAACTGAGCATATATATATATATATATATAAAATTAGTGCGCCCCTGCAGGGACGACGCGCGGGGAGGCGTGTGAGAGGCGAGAGACCATTAATGGATTAAGCGGTCTTCTTTTCATGTAGGTCCGCCATATTTAGGTGGTGGCCTTTTTAGACCTCGGCTCTTCTCGATGTGAATGCTCCCTTTTATAATGTCAATAATTTTATATAACAAAGAGGGTAAAAATGGTAAAAATATTTTTTTGAAATCTTGGTGACAAGCAACAGGGGTGACCTGAGGGTTAACAACATAGAAAATAACAGACTTGAATTGTGAACTGAAACTTCCACTTTTGGGTACCCAGGATAATAACACATAGGTTTGAAATATATCAATTTCTTTTTCAGCACGAGGTGCCGGCCTCACTGCCAGGTTACACTGCGACTGAGCGACCGGAAAGCCGAGGGCCGAGTGCACCTCCGCCAGGAATCTAATTCCAGAAACTATTTTCCAGTACATGTATATGGTGCTTTATGATGGTGCAAAATGTGGAATCAAGAGAAGAAAAATCTGCAAATTTAGAAAAAGCATTATTTCTTTTATATATCTACATGTGTTTATCTGCATGTTTTATTTATTTTCATTTTCCTCATTTTTACCATTCTATAAGGTCTGTTCTGAAACGACACTTCTGATCAAAATGGAAAATTTTTCAGTGACTTCGCCAACAAATATAATTTAACTGAGATCTTTGTGTGGTAAAATCTGAACGAGAGCCTGGCAGGAGCAAGCTCCAGATGTCAACGCTAGTGTACATTTTATGTTTTCGCGCCATTGTGATTTGAATGAACTCCATGGAAATCACGCGCTGATCTTCTAGGTGTTCTCCTTGAGTTCTCCTTGTCTGTTGCTGTAGAAATACTTCGAATGAACTCTAGGATTACTTCTGTTTAAAAAAACAGAAAGAAATAAAACTACATTTAATAAAGCCGATGTGTTTCAGTAAATAAAAAAAAACGTGTAATATTATTTTTATTCAAAAATATTTAAATGTAGAAAGGTTTTCAAAACGGATTGTTGGTGCCCAGAAGGCATTTCACAGTATCATACCTCAGAACAAATGAGATGAGAAGCACTTACTTTCCAACCCCGCTGAGAATCATACCGCGTACTAGGCAAGATCGGTGTTGCGTCTGATAATTCGAAGCGCGTACTGACGCACAACTTGAAAACGGATAGTGTGGTCCGATATACCGGTGAATTCATAATCATTCGGTGTCGATTCTGGTAGTTGGGTAGACCTCTTAATATCGGTTTATATTTGGATTTATTAGTCTATATTGGCAAATGCGATAATTGTACGATTCTATATAAAATGGTAAAACAAATCTACAGCAATGATCGTGATTTTGAGCGCGTTCTTCCATGAGAGAGAGAGAGAGAGTGTGTGTGTATTTATATATGATGATTTGTGAGTAACCATTTGCATTTGTCTGATATGTGTAATTTTGTGTGTGTGTGATTATCATAATATATCGTTAATATATAGTTCCCCAGTTGTTTTGCTGTCCCTAATTGTGATGATTTAGGTCTACGTGTGTTTTTAATCTTCCCTTATCAACAGTCGACAATACATTTCTATTTTTTATTAATTTAATAATTGCACTCCCAGCTGAAAGCAGATACGTTTTGGTCTAAAAAAGCCCTATATTATACCGACTTAATTCCCCTTATATTGGTGTGTGTTGGACACTCTAACTGTTTAATTAAATGGAGATGAGTACCAACACAAGGCGAGGAGGCATGTCTAATTCTTGCCACTTGTCACCATACAGTTTCAAATAGCATAACTTGAATAAATATCAAATAATTTCATTTTACTTCCCCATAAAAAAAAAAATATATATATATATATATATATATATATATATATATATATATATATATATATATATATATATATATATATAATGCGCCATACGTGTAAATTATCCCGTCACTTGGTGGGCTTTTAGAAACTAGAGGGACAGGACACTTTTTCAACCAAACATTTTAAGAAATTGCATTTAAAGCCTTTTTCGGCTGATCAAGTGTTTAATTTGGTTTATTCATTGGCATGTGGTTTTTATTATGAATGTGCAAGAAACTGGCAGCACCAGTGATTTATATACGATTAACAAGGTATCTCCGATCGTTTTGTACTGATGAGTTTGCATCATAAAATTTATTTTTAAACGAGATA